TCTCTGAATACGTACTCGCTGATAGTGATGGAGAGGGAGAGGAAGAGAAAAATATGATGGTTTGCAGCGAGGGCGAGGGAGGATTCGTAAGTATTCGTAGTCGATGATGGGCCACAGCACACGGAAGCGCTGGCGGTACTCGTGTACGAGAAAGAGTTGGTGGACCCAAGGGCAGGCCAGGTCCAGGGCCAGGGCCGGAAGCCAGGGTCAGGGTCAGAACCAGGACCTGGCGGCGGTAGTGGTATTGGTGGAGTCGATTGGCGGGAGGTACAAGGGGTACATGAAAGTCAGACGGCTTGGTGTGAGATCCCAGTCAGCCGGGCGGTTGGGGGGTCGAGGTCGAGATCCACAGGAGTCAGGACTACCTAGGACGGACTGGCAACGGACGGGAGGCGAGAGTGGCCGGAACGGTGAGAAATGTGGCTTGCTCATCCGTCTGCGGGCGGGAAAAAGCCTTGGGGAAACTGGTAGTTGATAGGTTGCTTTCTGACGGGTGCGTTAAAAACGGAAGACAGCGTCGAGCGAGGGGGAGGCGACGGTTTGCCTACTTTGCTAAAAGGTAGCGGGGGATAAGAAGCGACGAGGCGTCTGTGAGTGAGAACGTGGGTGACTCCAGCGCCGGGCTTCAGGGAGAGGGGCACACGGGGAGGTTGGTTGGCGGAGTTGCTGTGACGGCGCGGCCAGTGCCAGTCAGGGCGGCGGGCCAGACGTAAGGTACCGATTATGGCTGGCTGGCTTGGTCGAGTGCAGGCACACAGGCAGAGACGGGGATACAATGCGAATGCTGGTCTTGGAAAGATTGTCCGTGGGTTCGAGGGTTTCCCAGGAACAAAGGAGGAAAGGTCGAGGCACCGCAGGGGATTGGTGGCCAGGTTGAGATATGGGGGTGGTTTGTTGACGGGTGCGAGACGCGAGGTGCGAGGTTGATGAGGTCAAAGTCAAAAGGGACGGCGGCCAAGCCAGTCTGTCAGCCTGTGAGGTGAGGAGCCTGGCCCGAGGTTGCGATGCGCCGCTGGATTTGGAGTTTGATGCCGCCGCCGTTGGTGGTGATGCTGGTGCTGGCCGAACTACTAAGGGCACCTGGTGAGTCCTGACGGTGGTTGATGCGCGAGGCAAGCCGCAGTGGGTTCCCGTCCTGTGGATTACACTGTAGCGTGGCCGTACATAAGGTACGGTAAGGTGCGGATACCGTCGAGAAACCTTGCCCTGCCTCTGCTTCTGGCCTTCTGCTGGCAGCTGGACCTTTTGGCTTTGGCGGCGTTTTCCTTGTCGATGCGCTGTGCTGCTACCCTACGCAGGGGTAGGCGGTAGAGCGGGCGGGGACAAAGTTGGACGGATACGGACGCAAAAGGGATAAACGGCAGGATGCATTCGGTGCCACGATGGGCGGGTGCGTGGATGCGTGGATGCTTGGCCTCCGAAGCACGGCTGCTTGTAGGTACTTGATGGACTAGGATGGTGCCGTAGTAGGTAGTCTGGAAGTGTCGTGGATAGAAACTAGAAAGCGGTCTCCGAGGAAGTGGATGCGACAACGAGCGGTGGGAGGTTGGTGACGGAAGCTGAAAAGTGTCACTGGGCAAGATATCATGGATATCCGTGTAAGAAGAGTCAAAGTTGATGGATATTGATGGTTAATGGTGTTGAATGTGGGCGTGCCGGCGGTCGGGGATTGGGGGGCTCGGCTCGGTGTCGTCAATGTGTTGGTTGAGTGTTTATTTCTTCTTCTAAGCCGATGATGGATGACTCGATAGGATGATGCATGGAGAGAGCAATTAAGGTAAGGCAACGTAAGTATCCAAGGATCCCTCAAGTAGAGAGGCCAAGTCTGAGAGAGATGATGGATGCTCGTGGCCGGGTGGTGTGTGCTGTGCCTGTGTGGCTTTCACGGTTCTCACCTGGGCGGGAGGTGGAGGTGGACGCGAGGATGCCCTGAGTGAGGGGACCTGGACGGAGGGGCGGCGATAAGGATAAGGGGATAAAGTAAGGTAAGCCAAGGCCCGGCGATGCGACAAGACACAGCCCGAACTTTGCGCGGGCTGACGACAGGAACTTACCTGAGGAAGGCACTACCAAACCTACGAGGTTCAAGTCAGGGCAGGCACGGGGTCACTCGGGTGGGTGAAAAGTCAGTTTGGTCAGGTCCAGGTCAGCAGTCAGCAGTCAGTCAGGTACGGGCGGCACGGCAGCGCGACAGGGAAGGATGACTCTAGCAATGACATGCAGCCTCGACCCATCCGCGCCTTCCATCAAGTGCCTCGCTCACCAGCACACCTCACCTCATATCAGGTGTCTTTGTATCCGTACCTTCCTCCGTCACATTGAGGTGCGAACATCAAAACAGTCAGGAACGAGACGGCACCTTGGACTGTTTACTTGAGGCAGCTACTTGCTGTACCTGAGGCACTTTGCCCGACCTGCCTTACTTCCGTGCCTTAGCTGATGCACCAAGACGGGTCCAACACGATGTTTCTGAAGAAGGCGCACGTTGAGAGGAGCCGAAGGGGTTCGGTGCCTGGCCCTGCCTTCCAGGTTCCTTCCTCACGGTAGTAAAAACGAGTGGTCGGTGCAGGTGGTCAACGCAGGAGGCAGGCAGGAGTACCTCTGGAAACAAGAGGTTCCTTCCTAGCCCGGCCGGACTTGAAAATCCATCCGTCCACCTGTCCGTACCTTTTGCGCTTGCTGGAGCTGTCTGTCGCAAGTCGCAAGCCGCAATACCATTTTGAGCGGCGGGATGATGTGTCGAATGTACCCCTTGACTGTCTCTACCGTGGATAAGGTACATGGACTGTGCCCCTCCCCCTCCCCCTCCCCCTCCATCAGCCCGCCCCTCTTCTTTTTTTTTTTTCCTGCTGCATCATGCGAGGGGTTGGGTGCGCCCTCACTGGCCGCCTTTTTTTTCCTCAGGTAAGCACCCTCGCACCTCAACTTCTTCGACAGCTTCGCTTCCTCGTCTCTTAACAGCCACCACTAACAGTCTAGCGCCGCCTTAGCCCAGGCACCTCAAAGTGGGGACCAGGTGTTGGCGTCTGCCGTCTGTGACCTTCCAGTCTTTGCCCCCCGTCTCCCGTGTGCCTGTCCCTGGCCCTGTCAACGTCCTCCCAGAGCCCAGGGGCCTTCCTTTCTATAAAAAGCCATGGCCGAGAGGGGAAAGATAGTGTAGACGATGCCTGTGCACTCAGTCCGTCACCCGTCACCCGCCAAGCGAGAATCCACCCCGCAATCGAGGCGCCGCCGTTCCGTCTTCAACCTGGACCCGACCTGGACTGGACCTGGACGGTAAGGTTTCTGATGGAGTACGGAGTACCAGAGACAGATACCTATGCCTTGGTACCGATGTGCGCCTTACATATATCCCTTACGATGCCTACAATGCTTAATCGAGGATATATGTGTGTCGTTATGTGTCTCGTCAAGTGCCCGGACGACAAGCAAGCCACTTAGTCAACCACGGCAAAGTAGCAAGTGTAGTGGAAGAGCGGAACCCATTTCCCAGATAAACGAGCCGCGAACGACGACACGGACCAAGACGGGTGATTTTCTCAACGGGAGACCGGGACAGCACGGCGTGCCGGAGGCGACTACCAGGCATGTGCCAGTCCTCAGCCCCGGACCATCAGAGCTTATTGCGTTTCCTTCCTTCCGTTGCTTCCGTTTCGCCCAAGGAAGCAAGCAGCAGCTAAGGTAAGGCACACAGGCACAGCTTGCCGAACCGTGGGTCGCATGATAATAGACACGAGCCACGGGAAGCATGTTGATTAACTGTGTCTGGCCGAGTAATGTCACGGGCGAGAATATGCACCTTATTCGTGCCGTGGTGCCGCATCATACGTGTCTATCTATTTCTTGGACTGCCTCGCCGTAGCTAAGGTGCAACTTCTGAACGTCTTACGACATACCATTTACGGTATTGATAACGTACCTTACTTTCGGTCTTGCCTTCCATCTTCAGGATGTACCCTCACCCATGTCTCCCGCCGGCGATTATTAGAGAAGGCTCGGACCAAGGAGCACCAAGGAGCACCAAGAAACGGGGCATTATGAGCTTCTACCTAGCTTTGTATTAAGAGGCAGGAACAACGTGACATGGCAGATCAGGAACGGGAACAGGCAGGCGATGCCAACGCTGAGTGGGTCCGGACTCCACGAGTTTGAAGAATGGAGAGGAAAGACCAGGCACAATCACCCTGCACCGGGAAAGAGCCGATAGGTATCGTCGCTTCCGTCTCTGTCGTTTCTTTCTTGCCCGATGTTAATTGTCATTCATCAAGGTGCTGCATCTTGCTCTGTTCGGCTTGTATCTTCTGAGGAAAGGTACCTAAGGTAATATATTCTAAGGGAAGGCACCGAACCATCCAAATCCTCCGGCGGCTTGGACTTTCCCCTTTCGCCTCAGACTGAGAGCCGAGAATTCCGCATGCCCGGCTGTTGCCCACGTTGTCTCTTTCCATGGTGTGTCCTCTTCTCCGTACCGCCGTACCGCCGTACCTCCGTACCCGTCTGCCCTTTGCCATCTGCCAACGTCCACTCCGCATCTGCCGTCTGTCACCACCCACCACCCACCACCATCCTCAACCTCAGCTCCGTCTCGGCACCAATTCCTCCATTCCAGCCGGGCCAACATCCTGAGACGCATCAAATTCCTACAGCACTACACCATACACCACACACCATGAACTCCCTGTAGCTATCGATACGACTGACTCCCTACTTTACCTCCTACGGCTGCATCGCTCACACCCGCCAGAGTCACAACTTCCTTCGCGGCCTCGCCTTGGCTCAAGGGATGCCGCACGCCAGACGCACGCCAACCCACCAGCCCACTCACACTCGCGTACTTTTGCTCTGTTGGCACACCCTCACAACCCTCTCATCAGGCCCTTCCCTTGGATGGACACCACCACCAGACCAGACCGCCCGGCTAGATGAAGGACGGGAGTGACGGGCTTTGGAAGTCTCGCCAATCATGTTGCAATCACAGCGACAATGGAGCATCGCCACATAACACATTCTGTGATTTTCTTGCGAGCCATCGTCTGAGAAACCGAGACCAGGCACTCGTTCTCGAGATCAGCCATCAAGGGCGGCCCTCCCTTGCCCTGCCACAGTCGAGCTCAATGTGGCCCAGACCCAGAGACACCGACCGGGTCCAACCCCGGACGAACACCATCAATAACACAAAGTCGCTGCCGTCACCTCTCACCACTCGACAGGGTCCGTCTTCGTCCCGTGACAACCATCTCGTAACTGCCATGGGAGCTGCCTGCCCTTGTGCCTGGATCTAGCCTGGAGTCGCCTACTCGGGTTGAACATTGAAGAAGCCATCGTCAATCGAGAATCCACGCCGACTACTCATTCATCCTCGGAACGATGCCAACAACTTCGACACAAACTGCATACGCGCCAAGAAACACTGCTGAAAAAGGCTCTCTTGGCTCTTTCGAAATCACCCTGCGCGATGCATCACAGCTCCAGCTCAATCGCATTCGCGATCTCTGTGTAGGAGTCACAGCCCGGCAGATGAAAGCCGGTTGTTATCCAGCTTCCCCACCATCTCGTCAGAATCGCATTCAACATGTCACCGCCACGGTGCAGCAATCAATCCGACAGTTGCAGCCAAAACACACTCAAACCCAAGTGTTTTGGTCTCGACCATGCTACCAAACTTACCAAGTCGCTGTCCTGCGTTATACGTGTGCGCGGCAATCAATCACCGACATTATTCTCGCCCTGCGGTCCGGGACTGATTCAGTCGCCCTTATCGCCAGGTCGTACCGCCCACACACGAACTTCTCCCTAGCAACTACGTTCTGGTTTCTCGCACTCTCCGACCTCTCGTTCGTCGCAAAACTGCACTTGTCTGCCGACTACTGTTTATTATCAGCCAGACAGGACAGGGAGGTCGCCTTTCTGCAACACGCACGCACAAACTCCAGCCGCATTCTCCACGATGTGCTTCAGCACCCTTCGTGCCTGCATGCCTGCATTTACAGCATGTACCACTGTACGCCTGGGATGGATGGAAACCTGCCGATGCCCTAGGTTACTGCCCCGCACTTGACCGAACGCGGGGGGCTGGCCACCTGGCCCTGGTCCTGGACTGCTGGGTGATGGCCGCAGGGACACCACGACACCGATTCTTATGCCCTACCGTCTAGAGTAAGGCGGGCGCCGCTCGCTGGCTAGAGGGCGTGGAGGGCAAGGATGCCCGCCGATCTTCACTGCCAGATCGCAGAATTCCTCACCAGGCCGCTCCACCGTCGCTGCTGAAGATCACCCAGACCCTATGTCATCATACGCCAGCGACGCTCAAGAATTCTTTACCAAGCCGCCATTAAACTCGCTGCCCTCATCGTTTTAAGGGCTTGATCGGCGTCCCCTCCCCCCAGGTAGACCAGCATTGACCGTTTTCTTTCAAAATTGAGAGACTATCCCAAACCCCACAACATCTTGCCCGCTGTCGGCTTCATTGTCCAGGTCATTTTGGCGAATCTGACAGCGCCCATCAGTACTCGAACGACCCGGCGCCTCTCACTCGTTCCCAGACACCCCGCCCACTTTCTCTCTCTCTCGCGTCCTCCTTACAAGAGAGCCGACAATGTAAAACCCCCCTGACGGCTTTCACAACCTTGCGCGTGCTTATGTGCGCTGCGCCGCCAAACATCGCATCAGCTCATAGCCACTGTGAACTGTCGCATATCACGACGTTGATTCTCGATTTCCATCGGTGTTGAATAACTGATGAAGGACCCAGTAACTGTCTAGTCCGATGGATCAGGTGATGTTGAGCTCGCTTCCCAGTTGGCCCAGAGTGACGACCATGAACGAAGTATCTGTGTCAATCCGAACTGCCCAGTTCAGGTCAGCCAATGCGTAGCACCCCCCACCAAATGATCCTAGCACCTGGCAGTCCGTCCTCCTTGCTCGGAGAATGAGGAATTTAGACTCTGCGCGGATGAAACAATGCATCGGAATCCCCGCCCCTTGGCTTCGCGTGTCAACGGTCTGCTGGGAAGATGCCGGTACACGGGCGGCCTAGCGCCTGGCCACTACTGCCTGTCAGCGGAAACAATGGGCACGCAAGCATCGGATCGCTGATCAAAACTCAGGGCGAGATCCCGGCCAAGGACGCAAGCTTGGAAGCGCCGTGGTTGGAATGCATCAACCGCTGGGACACTGGCACCAGCATGAGTTTGCAACTGGTACTCGAGCAAGGCCTCTCCTTGCGCCATTGTCATCCAGCTCTATATACCGAGATTCTTTGTTCCGCCGCGTTATTTAGTTGAAAATCGCACCCGCCCCTCCGCATCCAGACATCCAACCCGGAAGACCTACAGGTTGACAGATTGATAATGGGGGAGGGATGACGAGAGCGCTGAGCAATCTGACCTGTCTCCCACTCACACCTCGCAACCCCCCTCACGAGGACACATCTTGGCTCGTTTCAAACAAAGTGCAGAAGACAGCAGTAGGCGCTGATGCATGCGAATCGACGAGGGAGGGGGATGGGATGCCCGGAGGGTCGCTGTGATTACGGATACGCAGTAGGCGGGATGCCGTTTTGGGAGACGCGCGTGGAAGACTGCAGCCATATGCAGGTCGCTGGACTCGAAATTTCGAACCGTACCTGGAATTGGCGTTGGCATCCTCACTTGCGCTCACACTGCTGCGAGTGTTGTGCTTTGGCCCGACTAGAACAATCTACATATCCGTTCTTGACTACGACCCTGTTCATGCAGCTCGGATTCTCGGTGTGGTTCTCTGGGCACTGTAGTTTGCATATCTGTGCTGATACAGCCTCAGCAACCATCTTCTCGAATCCTTTACGGTAGCAAAGTACGCCTGGATCTCGAGCTGTTCCATAGAGCCTGGGTAGAACGCCACGAAGCTCGGTAGTTCGTCCCGGGCGGTGAGACAAATCTGCTCCTTCAGCACTTGCCTGCCGAGTCTGTCGAGAATGCGAAGCCATGGGCAAGAGGCGAGGCTTTTCGTCACAGCCACTTGGCTACCTTTTCTCCCGAAAACATCTCGTGGCTCAGGGGTACTTTCTGCTGCTTGGACGCGACCATCCACGTCTGTAGAAAAAGTCGATCAGAGTGACCGCTCGCTTGGATCTCACCGCCGAAGGTCTAAGACATGACCGAACCTGTGATCTAGGCAAGGGAGCTGCCGTAGCCATGGGCTGAATCAACTTTGTGCGACATTCTACGCCGCATTGTGCTCCAGGCACCAGACGGGAGTCTTTAGAAACGACACTCGAGAATTCCATTATCGCGTCAACAGGCTTGCACGGCTGAAGCTTGAACCCCTGCAGATATCGCGGCAGTCATGGACGGATCTGTCGATTGTACTGGCTTTCTGGTCAAAGGTAGCCCATCTCACGTAAAGTCCACCTGCGAGGAGTATGTGAACTCATCGACTGGTTTCTCGCCGCAGCAGCTTGCGCTTATTCAGGCCTTGCCATCGAATGCCAGTGTTATATTTCGAATTAGCGTTCGCGCCCGCAGCTATCGGCGAACAGCACATTATTGAATGGCTGCTCCACAGCTTCATTCATCTCCATCGTACCTGTCGATGCTTCGTGTCAACTGCCCCGTGTGGGATACTGGATGCCCACTTACAATCGGGATGCGAGATGCAAAGGTGATCGATACTGGTGGTCCATGCACTGGATTGACTTGGTGTAGGCACGGATAGTTCACACCGTCTTGTCGGCCAGGGCGATAGGCGAGACCAGCGGCGAGCGAGAGACAACAATGCTTTCCACGAGCCGCACAAGATGCCATCCGACATCGACCATCGTTCGCCTCATGCAGATCCAAAGGTTGCGAGTAACGCTGCACGCCTTGGCTTGGTCGTTTACCAAGCTAGGCCCATCCCTGAGTCGGATGCTCTTTTTCCCTCATTCTGGCGTGTCTGGTCGAGAGTCAAGGCGCCTCGGACCCCATTCCAACAAACCTGTCTTTTGTCGCCAGCGTAGTGTCTCTCTCACCGCTCTTTTACAAGGGTTTACCTCGGTGTCTAAGCAACTGCACCAACACGGCCCCCGACGATGAACGAAGCCTCTCGCCCACGCAGACATCCCTTGAGTCTCGAGTTCCTCCCGTATACAACGACTTACGGCCGGCCGGTTCACGCCACGCACCGTTTCCTCTCCGTTATCGATGATGTTAAAACCGTAGCTGGCTAGCTGGGCTAAAAGTGTACAACGAGACGCATGAATAGCGCCATGCATGCGCACGCAGTAGCCTGCGAGCTGTCCCCAGTGCGGCGCACAACATGCAGACGTGCATGGGCTCGCATCCGAAGACACTGCTGCTAGAGCAGTTTACCTATCTAGTCGGCGTAGCCAGCCATATTCCCTCCCCTTTGGCAGCACTGCAGTCTTTCTCAACAGATCTTGTTGGCCGGTGCCTTTTGCCCACGAGAATCCGCGAGATGGAAAGTCTCCATCATTCGGCCACCTGCGCTTGTCGTAAGAACTCCCCTGTTGTGACATGCAGCCAACGCATGCGCTGAGGGGCGGCCGTGGCTGCGCTGGCTGACATGTTTCGTTTCGAACACACATGCCAATGCTGCCGATGATGACTGACATTGATGTGTGAGTGGGCGGTTTAGTTCTCCGCTCCAACTAAGAATCCATGCAGTCATCCTTCACCCGCCGACCGACCGACCGATCCCTTTCACGACAATGACCAGGCATAAACCTCCGGCGCGCCCCTAGTGCTTCCATCACCCGGGCGAGGTCGTTGGTCGGGACCGAGAGGGGCGCCGACCTGCATCTTATCTTTCCGGGAGGTAGGTATTAGACTGTGACCGAGAGAGAGAGAGAGAGAGAGAGAGAGAGAGAAGCAACAAATGTCTTGCGCCAGCCGCTCTTGTTCAGACACGAGGCAAAAAGCCGCCTGCATCGCCAACACTCGGTCTCGTTGCTTTTTCCCGCTCACGCTCCTGGTTCCTGGTCTCGCGGCCCCCTACCACCCCCTTTGCGGCTAGCTACGTTGTTGGTTTTCTTATTCTTCTCCGCATCGACTGAGATCTGTTCCTGGGTTATCTGGCTGCTGCTATTGGATGAACGACGTCTGCCGTTGCTTTGACCTCCCATCGGGTGACAGATGGATGGTCTTGGAGTCGAACTGTTGATGAGATGGCGGCTGACGAGTCATGGGCTCAAACTTCACGTGCGGTTGGGTATATGACTTTTGGCAGTTCAAGTCCAGGCCTGCCTGCCCTATTCACATGCTGTTTTCGAATAGTAGGACTTATATCAGGGTTCAAACTTTCCGCGGAGTGGCAAAAGAGGACGTGGAATATTCGACGTTTGTATCGAAGCTTTCGTGACTCGTCCGAGCACACACACGCTTTTGACGAACGACATGAGGGCTCTCCTCACCGCCAAGAGAGCTGCTTTACAGAGCGACTTGGTCCGAACACTGACGAGGCCATACCTTCGGTCTTGGGCAGTGCGCACATCTCATCCGAAAGCGCTGTGTCTGTCCTGGCAGGGGCGCTGTGGCGTGCGAGCGCTCATCTCGAGTCAGGGATCAAAATGTTTGTCCCGTTCCGAGGCCGTACTGACTGACACCGCTGTTGATACGAGACCGGTACCTCGACTCTACGACCTAACGTCTGTGGGAGCTGGCTCGGCCTGACGATAACATTGTGCCAGGACAAATCTGGGGAGACGACCTGTCAGATGGGACAGGATGCGGCTACCCGACATGCAGAGGGAGGCTGATGTAGGTCCCCGAGAAGGGCACGGGGGAGCCAAGTGCGGTCTGGCCAGATGGGTGACGGTCAGTATACGGGGCAAGTTGCTACAAATCACTCAATATCTTGTACAGTGGCAGGTCAGTGGCCAGGCTTGCTGTGAAATATGTTCCGTCGGCGAGTTGGTGTCCATGGGCGAGTTTCTTCCTGAGCTTCCTATGTGATGCGTAATTATCGAGAGTTCACGATGAAGATGTCTTTTGTCTTTGATACGAAGCGAACGTACATCAGACAGCGAGTGTCATCCAGTAATTATATGGAGAATAATCCTCCTATTGCATCTATCAGACCAAAAAGCTCGGCGCCTCTCTAGCAGTAACTGGTTTCTTCGTCCCAGATGCAAGATGGGCGAGGTTTTCTCCACGAGCCATCTCTGGACACATGGAGACATATGTATCTTCTTCCGTGACTAACCATGCAGACACCGAGAATCATGCTACGAGAATCAATTCACAAGAGCCAATCTACGAGAACGGTATCGAGAATAATTTTATCATTATATTTTAAATAATGAAGTCGGCGCTGGTCTCGGATACCTGATTCCTACACCCCAGATATCAAACCATCCAAACGCCGGCGGCAGATATACCCACAATACATACTTTCTTAGATAATTCATACCTCGTGAGCTCTATAGCTTTCCAATATCCCATGCGCCAGGTAGGCGTCATACAATCAAATATCCAACATGCTCTTCACCTGCTGCGGCTGCTGCGTCATCGACACGGCTGTACTCGCGCTATGACTCCTCTCCCCTAGCCCATGAGCCGTCGAGCCGCTTTCAGGTGTCCGTCCCCGGCCTGCACCGCTTCCTCTCTGGACGTCGGTGTAGGACGGCGGTGGCGGGCCATCTTGCATTAACTCGGCGGACCGGTCGACACGAGGTCCGGCGCCGGGGAAGAGAAGTTCTGCAGCGGCGTTCATCGCCCTTTCGTTGCGGCGGCGGTCGGATTTCCCGCTGTAGGAAGTGAACGTTGACGGATCCGCTGCGTCAAACCCAGGTCGTAGAGACCCGTGCATGGAATTCGGTCTCGATGAATGCCCGTGGAAACTACCCATTTCGATCTCTCGCTCCTCAGCTTGTTGCGCTTGCTCGCGCTCAGCAGCCCTCGCCTCGAGCGTCTCGTCTATCCCGCGGGACGTGGCGCGTCCACCGCCTAGTTCGCGGACGTTGCGCGCGATGCGCTCGCGCATACTCATCTGGCTTACGAGGTGATCGTTGTTCTTCGCGCGGCGCCACCACGCGGGTTTGGGCACGTACCCCATCTCGCGATCGATTTGCGTCCCGCGCTCGCGGCGCTGGCGGATGAGTTCTTTATCTTCATTAGGGGAGGTGAAGCCGTATGCGATTTGCGTGTAGAGGATCAACAGCGCGGGACCGTAGCCTCCGGCATACACAGCCGCTAGACTCGCTTTGGCGTTCAAGACGGAGTATGCAAAATTCCAGGAGACGAGACCCTGGTAGGCGATGAGGCAGGCCGTCAGGGGGAGGATGAGGAGGAAGCGCCAGGGGGTGTAGCGGAGGAAGCCGGCGAACTTGTTGAGCGGACCGCGATTGCGGGGGTAGTAGTGTTTGATGGAGTGGCGGAGGGAGGCGAGGATGGTGAGGTAGCAGACTACGAGGCAGAAGGTTGCTGCTTTGAAGCGGGCGTCTGTTGCGGAGGGGGCGGCGCGGGCGGCGGTTTGGTCTGGGGAGCGTTGTTTTTCGATTTCGCCCCAGTTGCGGGGGATGATGAGGAAGAAGTTCTAAGATGTGTGTTAGTTGGTGTTTTGGAGGTTTGAGTATCTCGGGGATGGGCGTGAATGGGGGAGGGAGAATGGACATACCAGCCACAGCCATAGATAGAACCACAATGGCATCCAGAACTCGAGCTTGCTTCGACGATCGCCCTCGCGCAGGGAGAACGGGTCCGGGTCAATGGCCTGTCTCTCGCTCCAGCTTCCCCAGTGGCGGACGGCCTCCCAGACCAGCGCAATGGTGAACATTTGCATGAGGTACCAGAAGAAGCTGTTGATGATAATCGGCAACCCAATGACGTAGAAGCGATCGACGTCAATATTGGTAAACAGACTGATAAACGCCGCAACGCAGACCAGGATCGCATAGTACCACTGCCACCGCCGTCCGATGGGGTAAAACCGCTTCGTCGTCGGGAGGTAATGCCGTCCATGGCGGTTCAGGTTCGCGAGGACAAACATGAGCGCGAAGGCATACACCACGCCGAAGCCTACGCCGACGCCGGCGCGCTTGCCGATTGGGTTTACGGGGTCGTAGCACCATGTTGAGTTTTCAAAGGTGCCGTTTGGTAAGAGGTAGACTGGTGTGTAGGGCTGTTCTGTGACGTAGCAGTTTGAGCCGTTGGAGACTGTGCCGTTTGTGTAGAGAGTGTAGTTCCAGAAGCGGAGGACGGTGAGGTTGAAGTGGACGCCGCCGAGGAGGGTGTCGGAGTCGTTTGCGCCTTGGGGGTAGGCGAGGAGGGCGCGGGAATGGAGCATGATGGGTGGTTTGGACGTCGGAGTTGTCTAATCGGGGAGGGATTGGAGGTTCGTGGTTCAAGGGTTGAAGATCGGACGTCGAGATGTTTTTGCCCGGGTCGTCCGGAGGTGATCGCTCGGGGGCGGGGCCTGTGGCCGGTGTTGTTTGTTTCCGTCGTCGGCCGTCGTCCAATGTTTTGTTTGGTCGTTCACGGGGGTTGTTCGATTGAGGACGTACTCTCGAGGAGAGATTGGCGACTGTGATTAAGTTAGGGAGGGCATTGCGTCGAAGAGGAAGAGGGCGGGAGAGAGGTAAGAGAGGGAAGATGAGGAACTGGCGAAAAATGATGTATTATGACAATATGGTTTATGGAACGCCCGGAAAGGCGGAGATGGGGAGGGGATTTTTTTTTGGTTAGGCGCTTTTGTTGATCGAGTAGTCAGCGCATTGGCACGCTACCTTGGTGCTCACCCAGCCAGTGACCGACCACCGACTGCGCAGTAGGTTGGTGATTGAGGTGCCGGGAATGGGACGCTACGGTACCCGCTACCCGCAGATCATTGATGACAGACTGCTTCTCCACTGGATTACTGGGTGCCGAGTGGTGCCAGACTCCAGTGGTGCTTTGGTCGTTGTGTGGTGTGGGAATGGGGAAGAGTTCGGGCGGCGGCGGGAGGAGATGGGAGACCGAGAGGAGCGAGACGGAATGGCCGGGAGCGACGGATTTGTGTTTTCTTTTTGTTTTTTTCCTCTTTGGGATCGTCAGTGGAGATGCCGAAGCTCCGGGACCTGGAAGAGAACAGGTGAGCGAACCGTGCAAATGGTTTCATCATGAGATTTTGGCAGACTGATTACTCAATGGCTACTGGCGGGCGTTCCTGGAACAAACAGCGAAAGAACGTATGCTGTGTATCGCGCAGCATCTGATTACAGGCAATGTGCTTTTCAGTTGACCAAAGCTATCCGCGTATGGCTGCATATCGTCATCATGGAGTTCGCGAGAGAAGAAGGCGGGATTAAACTTGTGGCTGGAAGAAACAATTTGCGGGGCAGGGCGAGCACCATGTCTGTGTGGCTAGACATCAGTGTGGCTGGTGATTCCGTCTTATGTAAGGCATCATTGACACAGCGGTACGTACCGCCCATCGACCAAGACAGGACAGCTGGAGCTTGAGCGCCTCAATCAACAATTGTTCTCAGAGCTTCCCTCTCCAAGCTCCCACGTTCAACTCCCTCGACCGGCGCAACACCAACACAACACCACACATTGACTCAACGACAGTCAATGGCTCAGACCCACGCATCATGACGACCCGCGAAGAAGAGGACCCCTCCTACATCGACTACGAAGCCTTCCTCGACCCCGAATTCAGCCCCTCCTCCTTCGCAAATACACTCGTCCTCGCAACGAACAACCCCAACGATGCGCCCCTCGATCTGTCCACCCCCCTTTCCCGCGTCCTCTTCGACACTCAAGAGATCGACTCCCACATTGACGTCCTGACAACAAAGTCTGCTGCACCCCTCCTACAGTACACAAAAGAACAGACGACATCTAGCAAGCACATCATCTCCGAGCTTGACGCCCAGATCAAGAACCTCAACGACAGCTACAAGCAGCTCGAGAAGGAGGTCATTGATAAGCATGCCGAGGCTGAAGAGGTGCGGCAGGTTGCTACGCGGTTATGGGAGACGCTGAAGCTCGGTCGCTCTGTGGGACGGTGTCTGCAGCTCGGAAGGCAGCTTGAGGTCCAGCACGCTGAGATTGCTGGATCCAGCGTCAGTGCTGCTGCTGCCGCGGCGGGCAAGAAAGAGGATCACCGAGCGCTAGTGCGGTGTTCACACACGATACTTTCGTTGAGGGAGGTTCTTGATAATACGGCGCCTGGGGAGGAAGGACATGGTCTAGGCAAGGTCGATGCGATTCGCACTCTTCGGGAGTCTGTAATCACGCCAGTGGAGCGGTCTGTCAAGGAGACGGCAGAGAAGATCATCCGCGACTTTGCGATTCCCAACTCGGCCACATTTGCGCAAGGCGAAGAAGTCAAGGCGAGAACCGTATCAGCCATGGTCACGCTCTTTTTACTCTCTCCGGTACCGACGCAAAAGACGGAACGATGGACGCCGCAGCTACTCCTACAGAGTCTTGAGACGTACTTCCGCTCAGCCTTGCAGTCCTCCATCGCCTCACTCTCTCGGTCACTGGGTCAGCTTCCATCCCTCGAACGCACTCTCGCTGAGATCTCAGCGCGGTGCCAGAACATCGTCGCCCTCGAGCTCGTTCTTGAGTCGACTAAGCTGCCGGCGCACCCGCTTGTATTGGCGCCGCAGAAGCAGACCAATATGCTACAGCCTCTGCTGGCGTACCTCGAGACAGGGAGCCTGCCAAGTTACTTCTGGCGGACGATGGCCGGCAATTTGGGTACGAGGGTGCAGGAGATTGTGAACCGTGGCGGGGTGTCTGCGCGTACGTTGCGGTCCAATAGGGCGAGTGTTGGGGACGCCGTGAGGGAGTGTGTCGTGAGAGGATGCCAGATGCCGAGTGCGTTGAAGGGCAAGGCAAGAGGGGAGGGCAACTGGGATAGAGAGGTCGCTGTCATGGTCGGCAGCGTTGTCAACAACCTTGGTCGGTAGCCTTGGGACGTGTACCACGAAATAGGACGCACAAGGAACCACACATTTCATAGGGAAGGATTACATTCTGAGATAAAACCATGATGCAGTCTTCGGGGACGCCTTCCAAGGATTCTGTCGTCCTTTACCTTTCCGTTCTCATTCCCTCCGCCTCATCTCGCTGCTACCACGGGCGTACCCACCCGAGCAAAGCTAAATATTAATGATGATGATGTTGATATTCACCCATGTAATGGTCAAGGATGCAGTTTATATGCCGAGTGGCTATCAAGAAGGAGTGGGAATAAGGCGAACCAAGACGGAGAAGTAGGGCAGGGATCGGGCCCAAGACCAATGCCACTGTGTTGGGCGTTGATAGAGGTGGAAGTGGGAAGTTGCGCAACAATCATTGTGGACATCGTACGGCGCAGGAGTAGTCTCAGTCCCTACCCTGGCAGCCTGACCCGTTGTCCAATACGGTCCACCTTAGTAGCCATCACTGTAAGATAGATTTCTCATATCGAAGAAGTCCTTCTTCTTTTTGGGTCATGTGTTGCAACGGCACGATTGTAACCTCGGGCGATGCGGTGTAATCAATTATGAGCCATTGAGGTTGGGGAGAATGAAGAAGAAAATGCCGTAGGGCGGCAGCCTGCATAGCGCGAAACCGGATGAGGGCATAGCAAGGCAGATCCATCCCTGGAGGGGCTGGCCAAGCAACGAGCAAGGGCGCGTTTGCGCGTTCGTTTGTGTGAGTGCGCATTTGTGGGAGTACAGAGGTGTGTAGAGGGAGCGCGCACTTGCGCAGTTGTGCACTCCCCCAAAAGCGCACTCACACAAACGAACGCGCAAACGCGCCCTTGCTCGTTTCTCTATCCTGATTTATACCTTACCCACGCGAATTACAATTTGCCACATCAATCCTGTGATTATCTTAAATACGATCCAGCCCCCTCCGTCGTCCGGGCGCAATCCTCATTTGACTCATCCTCTTGAGGATTCGGATGGATCTTTGTTGACGACCTTATTAAAGCTAGATCTTGCCTAAGTTCTCGTTTTCTTGTCAAACATTCCCCTCGCAACCTACCAAGTATATATTTCTTATCTCATCAATGACACTACACCTAGCAGACTGTTCAGCCGATGATGAGCTCTTTCATGTCTCGGAAGACATTGCCATCACTTACCTCCCTACTTCACCTACCCACCTTGAGAGCGAAACAACTCCCATCAAATTTCGTTACCTATAGCTCTTCACTGGCTTCATTCCTCAATCATGTTTCTCTCTTTCACCATCGCGTACCGAGTCTCCCAGCCTAGGTAACGCCGACACCCGGACAAAAAACATCGCCAGAGGGACCCGACTGGTGCCACCTGCAGAAGCAAACAAGTTCCACAGGTGGCGAACCGCGTCCTCGAAATGAGGCAACCCGGTTGCCTTGGTCGCGACCCAGCGATGTCTGATTTCAGGCGAAAGTGAGGCGGTTCAACCCCTCGCAAGGCGTTCGCGACACCGAACAAGGCGGACAAGCGGCCTCATTCTGCCTGCAGGCAGTGAGCCTGACGCTTGTCACTTGGCGCTCATCAAGACTTCAAGTGGACGACGTCGGCTGCCCCTCGCTGCAGCAATGCCCCTCTCATTCACCGAAAAAAAAACGCAGGCTCTTGGAACAGACCAAAGCGTATGCAGCCAGCCATCGAATCACGATTGCGCTTGACCTCTTCAAAGAAATAGGACCGGATGAACCCCTGATGCGCCGTATCGAAGGACACTGCTTGAGATTCGGTCTCGAACCCGTGGGGCGTGTCTGTATAGGCCCGGTATCGTCAACTTTCAACTCTTTGTGTGGGTATACGATGCTCTCATTTATCGAACCTGCCATGGATTCCATTTTCAGTTGCTCGCGATGATTCAAGCCTCTGGATGATTTTAACAGCAAGCGATGTTGGGAATTTTCGAAAGAGAGACTAGTGGTATCAAAAGCTCCGGCCCGACTACACTCCACTTATCCAGCCGATCCGGGTTCAAGTGATCTCCGAAGCTGGACACCTCCCTTTCCGGACACGTCCCCTATTCACTTTCTTATCTATGACAGTCCGGACGTTGCTTTATTGAACCACTTTATCACTCTTCTTCCGATCATTTCAATGCATCTTTAACTTTCAAATTATTAGCACCTCTATAACCTTAGGTAGGTAATTCATTTTGGTCCATGTCCTGGCAAGTGCCAGTGACACCAAACGACAGGATGGTCTCGTCATATAACGTTGATATCTGCTGTTCGGTCAGGAATCCTATGACCGTAAACTTCAAACCGTCGATAAACAGGCATATTCGATTGCTGAAGTTTACGGTCATGGTCATTTTGGCCGATGCCGAAATGCGGCTCGAGGTTCACACACCCCATGGTGTCTATCTTGCAATCGGGGCCGTCTGGAACTGTGACGCCACCCACCCATGCCCAATCCCGCCACGACTACAACACCAAGGAGACCTACAACGTGCATCTCGACGCATCTGCTATGGGCCGCCTCGCTTGCTAGCTGACAAGACCGGCGGACTGTTCGTCATCAGGTTGAATTCACTTTGTACGAGAACCGGAGGCTTTCTTGAAGGGGCGGCACTCGATATGGGGATTGTCTTCTCGACCCTGGTCCGCCAGGAATTTGCATAAAAGACGGGACGGTGATTAAATAAAATGTTGATATCACAAACAGCTATCAGAATCACTGTGAACACATGCAGCAAGCCTTACACATCTTGCTATCACGGAACTCCTGGCGTAGCCAATTTGCCAGAAGCCCCCTACTACCCTTCCACTTTGCAGCTATTTCGTCCATCCTCAAGGGCCAAGTCACCGAGGCTGAAGCTTTGACAACATGGGTTCTACTAGTTCGGTTCGCAATGGGTATTTTCCCCCTATGTCTTATGGAAAACGTGCAGGTGACGGCACATCCAGTCGCACTTAGCTGATAAAAGCGTTCTCAGGAGTGCCTCTGGCAAATCTTTCCATCAGTACTCGACCACTGAATCAGACGTCACTCTCTCCCAACGTCGAATCTCCGAATACAAGAGGTCTTCTAGCCACAGCAATATTTACAATGTTCACAATAATGGAACCGATGGTGAAGCTAGCAAGGCGCACCATCAAAACAGAATGGCAGGGACTTTGGCTGACTTCGACAAGCAATTCAGCTCCAACCCACCGAGGCCTTCTTGAGCGGACGAACGAAGACGCGCGAAGGGTGCCATCTATCAAGACGAAAATAAGAAGGGAGGAAGGGGAAGAAAGGATACCAACAGCTCGACTTCGACGTCGACTTCGGCCACATCACATAAGTAGTTATCAATATGCGCAAAGACACTTCCCGACCCAGCTACCAAGCTGTGAAGCCTTTCCACCAGCCTACCCAGAAGATCAGTATATCCCTATTTGCCTTCACTTCATGTACAACAATGTCCACAGATCGAACTAGCGATCCATCCCTTCGCCGAGCTGCCTTTCCAAGTTTGCGTACCCGTCGCACGATTGACGCCCCATGCATTGCTCCCGAGAATGAAGCGTCGAGCTCTCCTGCTGACGGTTCAACCTGATCATAGCCACGCAGCATCGCAGCTCAGCTCGAATCCTAATCTTGACCCAGATTGCCCCTTTCGCGAGTGAGCTCTCAGTGATAAGCTTCTGTTTCTTGTCTGCCAATGCTTGACTGACATGTGATGGTTCTCTGCAGTACCAGGCTCTGTGCTTGGCATAACCGGCGAGGAACTTTCAGCTTCTCTAGTGGGTCGAATGCTTTTCAGTATAAGCCAAAGCCACGGGTTGGGGGTACCTACGAAGGTAATCAACTACAGAGACACAATATTCTTCATCAAGTGCACTTCAATGCCCGTCTAATCCACTTCAGGACGTTTAGGTCGCTCACTTGCTTCATTTTCAACCACCGCCTTTCCAAACTCAACACTTTCCTTGCACGTCCTAGCTAAATCGAAGCATCTCGAGATTCCCATGCTATTTCATCCCATCAACTGCGATTTTGACGTCGGTACAGACATCTCCGAGTTTTCCCAACGCTGATCCTTCTGAACTTTTTGATTGAATGCATCGGAGGCAGATAGGTAAGGCCAGGCGGGAACTAAGCGGAAGATCTTGGAGCAATATGTGGTCCGTTACTATCCCTCATGGTCATGGGGAGCACATGCCAATCCACCGATGTCATGCCGCAGTTGATGGCATACACGTGCAACCGGCGAATGCGTCTTTGGTGGCTATCAATGAAGCAAAGTAGTGACACGTGACCTTCGCCCATATGAATTGATGCCAGGTAAGTGATTAGAGGCATGTTGAAGACGTTCAAATCCTACCGAACGGGACCGACGTGTTGGAGTTGTTACTTGATTCAAACTAGATCGACCTTCGCCAAGTTGCTAATTACCTTTCTTGCAAGTGGTAACAATGATGCGAGAATGCAGAGGTTTGCATTACGTCAAGCTCTTGGCGGCTATATTCAGCAAGAATACAGCCTGAAGCCTTACGAATAGACACCAGTTGGTTAATACAAAAACGCAGACATAATCTCGTTCGGAGTTGTAGGGCGTCAATCCCCCGTTCCTAAGGCGCGAACTCTAAGGCGATCATGCTGCGCCGCTGAATGCTACCATTACTCGGACTTGGCAGTCAGAACCTTATTGTGTCTCGACGTCGCAAAATCCCCGCGGTTCATGTAAGCTGAAGCCAAGGGCGGCTTTACCAAGGTCGAGTCATGTTTCGCATCTCATGTGGACCATGATGAATCAACATCACGACTCTACTTTGTGGGGCTCCATAAATCTAGACCGCTACCTAAGCTACCCCACGCAGTCCGAGGTCTAGGTCTTTGAAGTCTGAACCAAGACATGCATAGCCCAACGCCGAAAGGTTGTCGCAAAATTGAGCTCTGCCGACCGAGGGATGAGATCACTTCGGGCACCTAAGCTATGTGCTCCAACTATGATTGTCAAGCAATCGGCATTTGGTGGGGCATATGCTTTTCCTCCAGATGAAGTTTGTCCAGGTTGTCGATACAACGCAAACACGAAGCCAACAATCGTTCCTCCCTTGTCACTCATGTGTCCCCAACAGCACTACAACCCGTAAAATGCGAGAACGAGAACGAAAGCATATGTGAATGGTATGAATGGTATTACAACGGGTGTACAACAATGGGTAGAGACGGACTTCTCATTGCCAACGATCTCCGCGCCGGGTAATCGCAGTACCGTCTGCTACGATTCGTCAGTTCGGAAACATCCAAAGAGCTGGGGTTCTAGTGGAGGCCAGTGCGACAGCGATCATGGTCGATAACGGGGGTCAAAACCCACCTCTTCCTTGTACGACTAGTCCCCATCCTGGCCACATTTTGACAGGCATGGCATCGTGAGAGGGATATATCTCGTGGGGGGTCCGGCTCGTTGGTACGATGTACGACGGATTTCCCAAAATTCTGCAACTGGCGACGTTGGATGCCAAACAATTTTTCCATCATGGCGCTGTTCTCCTCGCCCGTAGTTTTGTTCGCACTCCCAACGTTGGTGGTCTACTACATCGTCTCAACTTTCCTCGCCCGTCGCCGCATTCTTCTCTTCGCCAAGACAAACGGGGCGACTTTTCCCAAGCACTTTTCCTCGAAACTCCCCTTCGGCATCGACTATGTCTGGCGCACTGTCAAGGTCGTGCGCAGCGGCGGCGATATCCTCGACGATGTTATTGCCGAAAAGTTCAAGAAGTGCGGCGACACCTTCAGCACCACAGGCTTCTTCGGCCCAGACGAGGTGAACACCATAGACCCAGTAAACATCCAAGCCATCCTCGCGACAAAGTTCCGCGACTTTGAGCTCGGCCCGCGCAGAATCGCGCAGTTCAAGCCGTTGGAGGGAAATAACATCTTCACCCACGACGGCCCATTCTGGGAACACTCGAGATCGCTCTTCCGGCCGCAGTTCTCGCGGGAGAATATCAACGACCTTGAGGGTACGGAACGTGCCGTGCAAGCTCTGCTCCGGGCCCTGCCTCTTGTTGGTCAGAAGACTGATGACGGTGGCATGTCTGTTGATATCATGCCCCTGATCTTCCGTTTCACGCTCGACACCGCGACTGGCTTTCTCTTCGGCGAAAGCGTCGACTCACAAACGGCCGCTGCAACGGGCAAGATGTCGACATCGACAAGCGCGGCGACAGCTATGGCGGCTGACCAGGCAGGCAGCGACATGTCCTTCGCCTCGGCCTTCCACGAGGCGCAGATGTACATCGTCATGCGCGCCCGGCTGCAGGGCTTGTACTTTCTGGCACCCAGCAGCGTGGGCAATAAGTCCATTGACTACATCCGCCGGTACGTTGACCACTACGTTCAGCTGGCCCTCAAGCGCGCGAAGCCGTCGGCGGACAAGTTCAGCTTGTTGGATACCCTCGTGGAGCAGACGCGGGACCGCGGGGAGCTGCGGGACCAGATCCTTGGGATGCTGCTGGCGGGTCGAGATACCACGGCGACGCTGCTCTCGTGGGTCATGCTGATGCTTGCGCGGCACCCGGCCGTGTTCAAGAGGCTTCGGGTGGAAGTGGTGGCGGAGTTTGGGGAGTACTCTGAGAACCCCGAAGGCATTGATTTTGCGACGCTCAAGTCATCACAGTATCTTCAATATGTGCTGCGAGAGACGTTGAGAGTGTATAATGTCGTGCCTCTCAACAGCCGATATGCGGCACGGGATACAATTTTGCCTAGAGGTGGCGGAGACGATGGGTTGTCGCCCATCGTGATCAAGAAGGGACAGACGGTCACGTTTGTACCGTATCTGCTGCATCGGCGCTCGGATATTTGGGCGGATGCGATGGAGTTCAAGCCGGAGCGATGGGAGGGTGTTCGGCTGGATTGGAATTATATCCCGTTCAGCGGTGGGCCGAGGATCTGCTTGGGACGTAAGTTGCTATATACCCATTGACGATTCGCTCGTAGTGTTGTTGGATTGGAGTGCTAACTTGCTCCAGAACAATTCGCCCTTACAGAATCTGCGTATCTCTTGGTGAGACTCATCCAGAGGTTCAAGAGCATGGACTGGATCGGGGCAGAAGGCGAGCCGAGAAAGGACATTCATTTCACCATGGCTCCTAGAGATGGGGTCAGTGTTAAGCTCCAGTACGCCGCATCATAGAAGAAATCGATAATTTTCAGTGGAAAGGCGTGTTGACACACATGGCGACGGGGTGGCTGTAATTGGTGAGTATTCTGAATGCCGTATGGTGGATACTGGAAGCTCTCCATTTTAGTGCCTGCTGAAGTGCTCTGCGCCTGGCTCATTCTTGTAGACGATCCATTATGAATGCAATGATCTTAGACGCGTAATCACGAACCCAACTATGAGACTTCGGCCGACTAGAAGGGTTCTTACGGAGACGTGTTCCGGTGTTGCTGTGGGTCCTCCAGGTTGTCACTCGGGAGGCTTGAGGCTTGAAATTTGAGGGCCGGCACCTGTTTGTCTTCGGCCTAGGTAATAAAAGGCGGGATCCCTGGCTAGATAGTACACTCTAAGGCCCCTCTAGGCCACGCCATACACTCAATATTCTGGAGGTCTAGGATACGAACGGATACCACCACCCAACACATCTAAGCAGACCGAAGAAGTTTGAAGACAGGAGCACACGAGCGTCGCACTCAACTCATTTCAAGGCTTCCCGATCTATGGAAAAAACAATCAAATCGAGCAATCTATCGCATGCAAGTCGAGATGGACCCCGACGCCTCCGTATTCCTTGTGGGTTTTGCCGCCACCACCGGATTCATGGTGATGATTGCGTTTGTATGGTTTCTTCTTGCTTACAATCGATTGTGAGTGGGCAATATTAGACTCTTTGCAGAGAGTGGCCAGTGCTAATTATCATTTCAAAGTTCGGGAAGATGCGGTTGCCAAGCTGCCAATGATCCCTTGTGCACAAGATGTGGGCTCCCTGAGCCGGCTACTCACCAGGAGGGGGATGGAACTTCGCAGTCCGAAGGATCCCACGCTCCAGGTAGCAAGATGGACGTCTAAAATGATTGATGGCGTGTTTTCTGAACTGTCCTTACCTGGAGAGTCCCAGCGACATAGCTTAACTTGCCGGAAGACTGTGTCAATCGGTATTTCTGGAACTCGCACAAACTACGGCCCATGAAAACGGAGTTTCTGTCATCTGTGCGATGTTGAATCTTGAGTTTAACAGCAGAAAGCTGCAAGACGCCTCTGAGAACTGCGTTTAATGTTCCTTATCAGGGTTTCGGATGGTAAAGCTCATAATCAAGCAAATAATCAAGGATACGAATATTTCGAATGGAGTTGATACAAGAAGAAATGAGGCAAACTAAAAGGTTCTGGTATCTTGGTGAACAAACATTGTAGCGGATCGTCTTCGTAAATATCATTCATTCATACGCTGATTGACCCCGGCAATGTGTCTTTTCTACCGCTCGTTTCCATTGGCATGCTAGCCTGCCGCGATGGGAGGTGATCAAATGCATCTGACGCGGTCGATTCCTTTCTCTCTCCAGCTGTGCTGAAACCAATCGCAGGGTTTCCGATGACAAGACAAAACACTGCAACTACCATGACACTAGAATAGGAGTTAGGCACACTATCAGGTGGCATTAAAAGTGTAGAATGACTCACGAAGATTCAAGGCCAATGAACAAAGGCTGGTTCCGGAACATCGGGCTGAAGTATCCCTCCTTCAGTTCCTCGATACGGTATGAGCATCGTACCAGGATCAGGATGGCGGAGATGAAGAGGAACGCCAAGAAAAGTTTCATGTTTTTCGTCATGCGTTGTCTAGCATTCGACCTCGTGCAGGTGACGAGGTAGTCTGCGAAGAGAGCACAAAAGGCGACGAGACAGACGACCTGGAAGATGAGCCCCGCTAGGGAGACATTTACACCTCTTTGTACGGCCGCTTTATCGTTTCCAATGCTGGATAGAGCACCACCAGTTGCTTGTAGGATGAGGGATACGATGTCGCACGGGATAAAGAGGTAATAGCATAATTTCGGGTTGAATCTGGATATCGAGCGATCGACGTGGATGATGCTGCGCTTCCAAGATTAGTCAAGAGCTCTTAAAGACTGATAGTTGATAGTCTCGGCAAGATGGACTTACACCTTCGATAGCATGACATAGATGGCAGCACAGAAGAAAACCGGTCCGACAGTGATACAGACTGAGACGAGAAGAAATTAGATCAAGTCATATCATGGGATATCGATAGTACTCACTAATCTGCAAAAGAAATCCACCAAAAGAAAAGGGGTTATCGTTGAGAATTAGCCTCCCAACGTAGCCGACAATCTCGAGCAAGCATCCACCGATCATGCTAGCCATGAACCCCCAGTTCTTGGACCGAAGACCCTGAATAGTATGGATGACCATGGCCAAAGCAAAGAGTCCGATGAATGTTCCATTGACTGGAACTGAAGGGCGATAGCGTAGTAGACTGGCCTCGAGCGGGCACACCTCCAGAGTGCAGTTGGCCTTCGGGCCGAACGACTTGTAGCCGTTCGGGAGCTGAGTTGCAGACATGATGCCGACGTGAGAGTTTGAAGAGGAAGACGCTAGGGATGGAAGACGGGTGTCAGATGAGACAGCTGGATGCTTGGAGAAGACGTTGAGATCTTGGGGCGCAGGAGGTAGTACTTATGCCTGGGATATTCCGTGAGCGGTCAAATGAGGAGTTGCCGCTTGCGTCTGTGATCATCCGGCCAAGCGAACGACGGCCGTAAAAGAGGGAGATGAGACACGTGGAACGCTCTAAAGGATTCATCCATGATATTGGATCTAATCCAGAACGTTAGGATCAACTCAGAAGGTGGAAACGCTCTATGCAGCACCTAATAGCCCTTTGATCCCTTAGCATTTCGCTTCGCATTATACAAAATGGGTTAAGACACAACATCCTTCATCGTGGCATACGGTTGACATCCCGCATGTGGGGAGCGCGGGATCGCCCTACCCTTGCCCGGCCGTAAACTATACCCCGTTCGGTCATGAAGAATCTCAACGCGGACAAGGGAGGGGGCAGGAAGGCGTCATGCCACGTGTCTCTGCTGATATCAGTCAGACATTCCGGGCTAAACGGCCAGGCCGATCGACATCCCGAGAGTCTGGGACCTAAATTAGTCCGACTTGCATCTAGCTAGACTCGCACTCACACTTCGCAAAGCGGCGAATCAGCAACGTTCCTTTTGGCGTGTGAGACTCAGAGTCGGCCGCAGATCCCACAAGCGAGGGGACCACGATATGCCTTGAGGCTTCAACACAAAGAGGCCTTTTCATCCATGGCACCCGTACCCGTGCTAAGAGCCCCGAGAAGTCGGGTAGCAAGCTCCAGAGCGCGTCATGTTTGTGAGCCATGTGTCGACATGGTTGTATTCATAGAAAGCTGTGAGGTTTTGGCCTTAGATCTAGAACCCGGGCTCATTGTTAGACACCAAAGTATCATACGCGTGGCATGCGGATCTAGCCATTTTGACACTTGCACTTACGCGACCATGTACATGGAACTGGTGAAGTCGTTTGAGGCGTTTCCCGCTCGAATCGTCATCGCTTACGAGAGCCGAGACAGCCAAGACACCAATATCCCGGAGAGGCATGCTCGGCGCTCTTTGTCGACTGACTTCCGTGCTGTTAGAAGGAGAAATAGAAACGGAGAAGCAGTCTATAATAGACCTGAAAATTAGTCAATTGATAATTAACGGTCATTTGCTTCGTTACCAAATAACTTGACGTAGGTTTACTCATAAAGGAAAACCTCTGCATCACAAAACCACAATTACTGGCTCTTATAAACACCCTCAGAACTTCCAATACCTAAGTACGCAGTGGTTTCTGAAAGGCTCCGATGGGGTGGCTTGCTCTTGGGCTAGAAGCAGTCTAGATATCCCGCCATGGCTGCCTCCAGCAATACACCTCTATCTCCTCCGCCACTGCAATGGACAAGCTGCCATGAGTCTTGGCCATGTTAGAGTTCATTTTAGTTCAAAGCACACAATGTCCCCACGTGGAAAGAGGTTGTGCCATTCTACAGCAGAGGGTCGGGCCGCCGGAAATGGTAGGTTCGGCGACAGGGCCTACGACCTTATCAGTGATATTTCCCAATAAGTCCGAGCAACCAAGTACACGCTCTAGGAAGTTTGGACTGATGATATAGAGGAAATCACATCCGCCTTTGCTTTTACCTTTGTCTAGGCGAAATCTGGATTAGACTCGGATTATTGCCTGGAGCAAACACAATCCCTTTGCACTTTTTTCTTGGATTCACAATCGAGCAGTACCTGCACAACGGACAGAAAGATCCATGAAAGTGCATCCAAGTAATCTCCTCCTCTGAAACTCTTTCTACTGAGACCATAAACATATTTCATTTTTTGAACGAGCACCTGGACTTGGGGGCATTATCAACTGCGAGACTCCAAGGGACCAAAAGGAGACGGTTCCACTCACGTGCGATAACACGTGACCTTCTAAAATCATCATCAAAGGAATCAATCTCGACGCGATGCCCGCCACGAAGTCCAAGGCACTACCGCCACATTCGCGATCCCGACAGAAGACAAATCCGCGTCAAACGTATCCATGTCTAAAGGCTCTCTAATTATCTTTCACAAATGATGAATGCATTTGCAGGTCGATCGCGTTCCTCAGCAGGATGGTTTTTTGCTGGCCTCGACTCATCATTCCCCGATCTCGGCTCCGATGAAAGCAACCTATCAGATCTCCGTTTCTGTGGTACAGATCTCAAGTCTGGTTGCAAGGTGTTTCAAGTGCGGAAGTCAGATCCATCACGGAGTACAGAGGTGCTCCTGGCACCAGATGTGCTAAACTACGACGAGCTTGAAGGCGATTTGAAGGATCAGGTCTTGGTTTTCAAATTTAAGGGGAAGTTTCACGCCGTCGACCATGTGAGTCTTTTCCTTTCATCACGGAAGCCCACATACTGCAGATCTGACTAAAACTCGTTTAGAAATGTCCACACTCTTCATATCCGCTTTCACATGGCACACCTTTCGACATCGAAGACTTTGGAATTGTTCTGAGCGCAGGATTGACTTGTCCGAAGCATGGCTGGTCGTTTGATTTATTCTCCGGCATGGCAGACCGCGCACGATATAAGCTGGGCATATGGGAGGTTCAGTTGCGCGATACAGCATCAATAGGTTCAATACCAATAGGAGATTCTCTTGCAGACATAGAGAGCATAGACAAAGAAGTGTGGGTGAGGAGAAAACAAAGAATAGGGTAATGTCTCAGGGCGCATTGAGCACACACTTTCCGAATCATTTCCAGTGCACCTTTGATGTCTTCGTTAATAAATCTCGAGAACGTTCGTAACTTTATGTGACCAACGTACAGATGGAATGCATGCGACTGGGTAAGATGTTTGGTCTCTTGTAGAAAGTAACGTGCTAATTTACTGTCACGAAACAGGAATGGTATCAGCACTTGTCAGGCACCTTGCCACGTGCTTTCTCACGTGGATATCACACTCACTTAGTATATAGACTACTCTCATGTGCTCATTCTAGATGGGTTACTTCAAGCCACTTTAACCCACTTCATATGCCCATTGCTGCGTGCCATAGCTCGTGACATTTACTCTGTAAGGTTTCTGTTGGCACAACTTTATTTAGATTCACTACAAGGTAAACGCTCAGCAAAAGCCGTCAAAGAGGCACTCAGCAAACTTTCCAGCGGCTCCGAGGCATACGACATTGCGTATGAGCAGGCCATGGATCGGGTCGAAAGACAGCTCGAAGATCAAAGGTCTCTAGCAAAAGACGCGCTTTCTTGGATAATCTGCGCTCAAAGACCACTCGACACCGTAGAGCTGCAACATGCTCTCGCCGTTGAGAGAGGAACAACCGAACTAGACGAAGACAACCTTCCTGAGCTAGAGGATGTTGTCTCGGTCTGTGCTGGTCTAGTCATAATTGATGAAGAGAGTAAGATCATCCGCTTGGTTCACTTCACAACCCAGGAATATTTCGAGAGGACGAAGGAGCGTTGGATGCCCGATGCAGAGAGCCTCTTAGCGACATCTTGCGTTGCGTATCTTTCTTATGACAACTTCAACTTCACATTTGAGGAATATTTCGAAGAGCTACATTTGGAGAAGAAAGAAGTAGAGAGGATTGCGCAGCTTAACGGGTATAAATTTTGGAATATGGTGAAGGAGCTTATCGCGAGCAGAAATCCGCTATACGACTACGCCGCTTGCAATTGGGGTTATCATGCCCAACACACATACCCCACGGATCAGGACACGCTCGGCTTTCTTACCGACAGAAAACATAACCGTTCTTCATCATTTCATATGGCCCTGAACAATAGCAAGTTTAAGTTTTCCCTATTTTATTGGTTGCCGCCGCCTAGAAGGGTTCATGGAATACACCTTGCAGCATATTTCGGGCTTTCCGAAATCTTCGAGCTTTTGAAGGGGACCGAGGAAGTTAGCAACCTCCTGGTATTTGTGAAGTTTTGGAATGCTAATTTAATCTGCAGACTAATCTGAATCTCGAGGATAGCTACGGGTTTACGCCACTTTTCTATGCTATCCTGGGGGGCAATGAAAACTTCCTTGAGTATCTTCTTGCACAAAGTGGGCTAGAACTCAACAAATGAGCAGGTCCTGATATCGAAATTTACTACCCCCTCCACATAGCTGTTCACTGCCATAATGAAGCTGCTGTCCGGGAGCTGATAGGAAGGGATGAAGTCCATCTTGACGCTAAGACCGGGCGTGGAGTCACGCCTCTCCAAGAGGCCGCAAGATACGGCAATGTCGGCATTTTAAAGCTCTTAATGGAAACAGAGAAGGTCGATCTCGATTTTCCGGAGTGGTCATGTACACTTTTAGCAGTTACAGCAAGACTCGGGTGGTTCGAAATAGTCAAACTGCTTGTCGAAACAGGGAAGGTCAACATAGACCTACGAGGTGCTTCGAGTGGAGACACTCCCTTCTCCTCGGCTGTTAGCGAAGGAATATTGAAAGTAGCCCAATATCTGCTTGATACGGGATCAATCGACACAAACACGGCAAATCATGTGGGGGAAACGCCACTTCATCGTGTTGCAACCTTGGGTGAATGGCGTGCGAAGCGGCCAAAGTCTGGAAAACAGAAGACTGCTCAATGGCTTCTTGATTCAGGAAAGGTTGACGCCAGTCTGTTCATGAAGACGAGTTCCGGGAAGACGCCTCTAGACCTTGCCTTGGAGAGTCGGGAGCCAGAGGACCTAGTGATCAAAATCATTTCAGACAGGATGACGTTCTTACAAACGACGAAGATTGAAGGGGTTATGGTAGATGATGTAGATAATTCCATAGAATAATGTATCACCATTGTTCTCAAAGACATTGGTCATAAAAGAGTAGTCCGCTGACCCATTTCCGATCTGCTCTCGACATCTTGCTGTAAATTCGTCACGACCACAAGGAGAGACGTTTCCGAGGACGTGGCCAAGATCCTTGTGGACCGGCCTTTCAGCGTGTGCCGGTGCCAGCGACACGGCCAGTTCCTACTCCGCCTTTGTGCAACTTTTACTATGGGTTCAGAGATCGGGAACTTTTGACGAGCCTATTTCGGGCTGTGGCAGGGGTTTGTCACGATATCTGTTTCAGGAGGCGTGCGTCTCGACCTGCCTTGTGGATCCTCTGGGCGTCTAGAGGGAAACGAATTTAGGACGGGATGAAGGGATGGGCGTCGAGGGGGCGATGAAAATGCCGGGAGTCAAATCATGATGCTCTCTGCTTTTATGGTGAAATTTTCAGCGGCTGTCACGGAGGGCATCTTGATGCGATTGTGGAAACGTTTCAATCGTTATGGTTCGTGATATTATTGCGCATTTAAGTATGGTACATCGTGGACGGTAAATCTTCTCTCTGGGTATTCAAAAATAAAGGAAAAGAAATAATGGTAGGTGAGACAAATGAGATGTGTGACAGCAGTCATCCCATCTATGCCTTAGTACAATGTGTGTGGTTCGCAAGGTCTGGTTCGGAGGGTCTATCATCCGATCCTTGGTATGATTTAATATCGTGGGTTGATCCCAGCTCGAGAAGAATGTCGCCGTATGCTCTCAGTAATGACCGTGTGGGCGTGCCGCGACATTTCACACCTCAACCGCGATATTCCATCTCGGGAGAGAACCGTCCATCAGGTCCCCTCTCCGCTCGGGGTAGCTGACCCGGCTGCGGTCGGTAAAAGTTGTCCGGGTTGTATGGTCGATAGCCATTGTTGGGCTGGTATCCAATATTGATAGATTCCCGGTACGGACCCTGTCCTACTTCCTGGTACATATCATAAGTGGAAGCAGGGTACGGCACCCTCGCCGTGGAAATCGCCGTCGGCGGCCGGCGTTGCGCCGTGCTGATCCTCAGGGGCGCGGGGACCACCGGCTCATTGATGGACTTTTCGTAGTAAAAGCTCTCCGTTTGCATGTTCCTCGTACTTCCAATAGGATCGTTGTTGCTGGGCATGCTGGGAAGAGGCGGAGCCGCGTTTGCTGTTGGGGGGTTCGGAAGAGGTCTCGCGGATGAAGCATCCATCTTTGATGCTCTGTCGGTCTTGAACTGCTCCATCATCTGTTCTTCCATCTCCTTGGTGGTCCGGTTCGCAATCTTGGTCTGTCTGAAGGTTGTGACCATGGCGCGCTCCATCTCGCGGGTGCTGCGCTTCGGTTGACGCAGGATGGCTGATTCGCGTGCGACGAAGCCGTTACCCCCTGGTGACGTATTTTGTGTCATGTTTGTTGCTACGGCAGCGACCTTCTTCTTCCTCTTGTAGCGCTTTACGCCGAAGATTACTGCGCCTATGAGCAGTCCGATGATGGCTGTAACATTTGGTTAAAATTCTGGTTCAGAATGCGGGGGGTTCTGATGACTGACCGACAACGGCGAAGGAGACTCCGATGGCAAATCCGCGGTCTGTGCCATCAGCAGGCGCAGCTGATGCTGATGGCGCGTTGGAAGCCTCGACTTGCGAGCTTGGTGGGAGAAGTTCTGGCTGTGGAGTTCCAGACGCCGCGTTTTCGACCGGCGGTGGGGGCAGATTCATTGAAGGAGTAGTTTCGGCGGCGGGTGGAGGAGGCGGTGATGGCGGTGCCGAAGACTGACTGGCAGGCGGAGGATTTTGCGGTTGGCGAGCAGGAGGGTTCGACGGTGTCACGGCCGGGGCCGGTTGTTGCGCAGGAGCTTCTTGAGGCGGTGGGTTAGATGGAGGCGGCGCTCCGGGGACAAGAGTGATGAAGCCTCTTGCGGGAGGCAAGCTTGCCGGCAACACCGGGTTCAGGACTGCCGATGGGATCGGAGACCCTTGAGCTGCCGGAGGCGGGAGAGATGGTGCGGCTGGAGGCGGCTGTACACTCGGAGGAGGGGCCGGAGTTGCTCCTGGCGGCGGCGGTACCGCTGGCGGCGGTTGCTCTTGTTCTGAGTCGCTGCTCGAGTCCGAGGACTGGCCGGCCGGCGCGCCCGGTTGTGGTGCGTCGGAGTCGCTTGCTGATGATGCTGCGCCGGCTTGACCGCCCGCTTCTGAGTCGCTCTCGGCCTCTTTGGCTGCGCCGTTTGCAGGTTCCTCCTCCTCCTTCTCTTCCTCTTCTTCCTGTTCCTTCTGTTGATCGGCGGGCTGATTAGGCTTGGCCTCCTCGTTCTCATCCTCTTCCTCTTCTTGGTTGCCGCCGGCCTCTTGTTCCCCGTCTGCTTCCTCTGCCTCCTCTTCCTTTGCGGGCGGTGGTGCAGGGCTTTGCCTACGAGTCAGATTATGACGAGGTCTGCCAGGGAACTTAGGCGCTGATCTCCTCCTCCGCTGTCTGTTAATAGCGGTTAGCGTTTCTCACTCAAAGACTGCGAAAATGCTTAGTTGACCCCATACCTCAAAGTAGACCAAGTCGCAGTTGCCTCCATGACTGCGAGTCTTCGCGTTTTCCGCAGACTGTACTTCGAACCAGAAACGAAATAAAATCGACCAGCGAGTGAGTGAAGAGAAAACAGCACAGCTGCAAACTTGGAAGAAACCGACAAGAAAGGAAAAAGGACGCAAGCGCCGCATGAGAAAAAGAGTCGCGATTCACCGAGATCTTGGACAGAAGCAGAGGCAGAAACAACAAGAACCAAATGAGATGCCACGCTGGGGTGGGCGGCATTTGCTCCATGTTATCAATTCTCGCCGCGTCGATCATCTTGCCCAACCCCATGGACAAGCTCAGAGACATCCATGCAAAGATGTCTCCCACATCAAACAACTTCCAAGAAGAACAGGCAAGGGGGTTCGAGATGTGCCTCTCTTACAAGCTGCGGGCGGTTCAGGGACTGAGGGACAGTGGGCACTGGTCTCTGGTGCGACAAGCGCACGCGAGGGAACGTTCCGGGGGACGTTCACACGGATGGACCCTAGAGGTGGCTTGACATGACTCTGGCGCAGCCGCTAGAACCATCAGCAGGAGTGTCTGTCCAGTTCAAGCTCCTCTTCACCAGCCCCAGTACGCCGCACAGTTACACCCAAGGGATCGAAGAGGCCCGGACAACAGGGAGTTTCTCAGCTGGCAAGGTGACTCTGAAGTCTCTGAGAAGGCGAGCCGTGAACCACACCCGTTCCATGTTCGGGGGGTTTCAGACGGACCCCGGCCGCTGTCACTCTGGTGAACCCGCCGTGCCGCACCAAAACCCTCGGTCGTGTTTGACGCGCTTCTTGGCGGCTTGGCCCGGAGACGCCCTCTTTTTGGTGTCTGAAACCACCGAGAATGCAACTGCGAGCAACCCACGAATAGGTACGAAAAACTGTTGGCAGATTTGAGCGCTGAAGTCTGCTAGTTTCCGACGTTTTCCCACCAGAAACTCCACCCTGGCGCTTCCAGGACGGAGAGAATTAGAAACATGGTAGGGGGGCCTTGTCTGAGCCTGGAAACATTTCCCGTCTTTTCTTGATTGCGCTGCTGACTGTTGTTGCATCTCCTGCCTACCCCTCGGTGCAACTTCGTGTTCCTTTGCCGTAGGGTTCATACGGCGACAAGACTGTGATGGGGATGGAGCTGGTCTTTGCTCAACACACGTAGCAATACCAGACCGCAATTCCGATTTTGGATGCGAAAAGGTGCATGAATTTGCGCCAGCCCGACAGCGCAACTTTTGGCGAGCCCAGAGCCCATTTGCTTCATTGGTCAACCGCGCATAGCGGCTCGGCCACGGAGCAGTTGTGATCGACACAAGGACAAAATCTGGCTCAGCCTGCCTACAAACAGACAAGTCAACTTTTACCGACACGCTCGCGACGAAGAGTAGTGAGGAGTCAGAAGAGGGCCCCGTTCGACCTACCCAGAGGCTAGTGTAGAACATGGCCCAACTCTCCGTCCGTCGAAGGGGTGTCGCGTGGTAGTATCCGGGGTAAGCTCTGGCTCAACCTCATCCACTACGGGGTCGACGGTGAAACGGGAAATGCATGGGCTCCTTGCAAACATCTTTTTTGACTCCTCAGCTGACAATGACGCTGGTCTCTATAATTCTCAACACCGATGGCGTTGGCAGGCGATGGGCTTTCTATTAATACCATTCTCCCTCCGTCTATTTATCGCCTGAACGCCGAGCGCTTGATCTACATCCAACTCAATTCGAGGTTCGGTTCGACTAGCTGTTCGGCTCCAATGCCCTTTCGGCTATATAACCCTCCGGTCTCTAGGAATCATGCTTTATGTGACTTGTTTTCTAGAGTAGGAAAGATTGTTTCTTGGCCGTGTGATCTGACGAGACACTCTTCGCACTTTTCTTCTTTCCGGCAGCGGCTGTGACTCGGATGAGCTGTGTGCTTCGACCAAATGGTAGCTGTAGACAAGTTGGCAGCATAATACAGGCTTCGATATGAGCAATACATTGTCTCATCCAGGATCCTAGATATCTTGTGAATCCGAATCTCTGGGTTCTTTCCGTTCCTCAGCATGTCTCCAGCTCTTCGTTGAATTGAAAGAGACCAAGGAACATTGTCATTCCGGAAGCCAAGATCATCACCCTGTCTCGCCCTGGCAACACGTGATCTCAATAGGTAATCAGCCAGTCGCATTATTTCCGGCACGGTTAGCTTTTAAGCCCCAGCCTTCCGAAGATGACACACAAAGTAAGTTGTAACATACCTTAGCAGGATAGGAGGCTACAGAAACCACGTCTTGTGGGAAGTAATCTTCCTTCCCTTTGACACGCATGGGCTGGTTGCACCACCGGGGGCCAATCTTGACATGGAGTTTCATGTGGTGCTAGTCGCTCGCAATCGATGAATCTCGTGCTAAATGGGCTGGATGGTACTGCTTCACTTCTTTGATAAGGTCGATGGCTTCGAGCACAGCTTACGAAGAGCCGCGACTTGGCAAGTTCTCACAACAGATTTCAGGCACATCAGCCTGGCATAGTGAGCAGGTGATTTAGTTCCGTAACTTATGAACCCGGCTCACTAAGGTAATTGGAAAACATCTACATCAATATCGTCTAAGTATGGTACATGTACTTATGCAACATAGTAGACATGCCAAAGTTCTATCGTACACCCGGCACTATAGAACGATGCGAGCACCACAGCAGCATTGCTAACTGTCTTCCAAGACGTAATTACCGCATGTTCTCACTCGTTCAACGAGAGTATCGAAAATGTGCTCTATGGGTAAAAGACACGAAGAAAGCCTTTACAATGAGCCGTCCAATTGTGCCGAGGAACCCAAGTCCAAGGGTTCCAACCCTCAAATCCTTCTTCCTTGCCCAGATACCTTAGCTCACCGTACGTCTCATCGTTGACCGTTGGTCCAAAGGCAGCTCGCCTGAGTTGACCTAGCGAATGACAACACGGCATTTCGCAATCTACTCACAAAAGGTATCCCTCAAGGTTCTCAAGGGCCCGAGCCGGTCGTTAGACCCGTCATCCATGTTTTCGCGAACTCTTTTTTCCTAATATGGCGAGGCGTTTCTGGAGATCGAGTCCTGGCCAATGTCTTTTCGGCCAATCAGAGAGCGGCCGATGATGATGACGGCCCCGGTCACGAGCCAGCCAATCCCGTGTTATATCGCCGGGGCAATCATCAGAACCCGGATGGCCCGTCGTGTACACGTCGTAGCGAACGAACAGCAAAGGGAGATGATTCAGAGAGATGGCATGATGGAATGAAGGAACGGTTGCTAGCGTAGGTTGGGCACCTTGATGGCAGTCGATCAGATAAGTCGGCATTGGAGGTGTTGGAAGGCTGGCAATGCCCATATAAATATTCAAATGTCGAAGGTTTAGACCGAATGAGTGTGTCCAGAGCTTTCATTCTTCAATTTTCAACGATTTTTCAGAGTTGACGGGAAGCCACGCACATTCACAATGGGCAAGAAACTCTCAGCGTCTTCAACGAAGCCCAAATCGGGTGCCATTGTTGTGCCAGCAACTACTCAACCAAAATCCACCGATGAGGTCCCGAAGCTTGTCCGCCAGGACTCCGGCGTCGATGTGACAAAGTCTGGTCAAGGAAAGCCTCTACCAGTCACACTTCTCTCAGGCTTCTTGGTACGTCCTGATTGACGCATGCGAGTGATTAAGACACGTGGCTAATGGCTAGATTACAGGGTAGCGGTAAAACGACACTCCTTCAGCACATCCTTAAGAGCGACCATGGTCTTCGTATTGCGGTCATTGTCAATGATATCGGCGCGTGGGTTACCAACTATCCGCTCTATACCTTGTGTTTCATGAAGCAGCACTGACTAGCTACCTCGACCAGTGTGAACGTTGACGCATCCCTCATCAAGAAGAGCCACCGACTTACAAAGACCGAAGAAAAGGTCATCGCACTGCAGAATGGCTGCATTTGCTGTACTCTCAGAGGAGATCTGCTGGAAGAGCTCGTTAACTTGTCAGAGCTCCATGAGTTCGAATACGTGATTATTGAGAGTAGTGGTATCAGTGAGCCCGAACAAGTCGCGGAGACCTTTGATGCCCGATTGGCGGAGCAAATGGCTACAATGGGCGAGGGACCCGAGGGATTGGATGAGGATACCTTGAAATTGCTCAAGAGGCTGTGAGTCCCATAGCACCCGCCCCCCTGACCCTGTGATCAAGATCTTACTGACGAAACCCGCTCCTCAGGGCTGATGCTGGCGGAGTCGACAAGTTCGCTCGCCTTGATACCACCGTCACGGTCATCGATTCCTTCACAATCTTCAACGATTTCCACACTAGCGATTTGCTATCCTCGAGACGAGATGATGTGGTGCCAGAAGACGAAAGGACCGTGTCTGACCTGATGGTTGACCAGATTGAGTTTGCCGACGTGATAGTTCTGAACAAAGTCGATATGGTGAGCACTTCTACGAGAGAGATATCGTGATAGGATGAGGTTGCTGACTGGATTCAGGTGACCAAAGACGATCGCACTCGCGTGCTAGATTTGATCAGGAAGCTCAACCCAAGAGCCAAGATCCTGGAATCCAGCTACAGTAAGATTGACGTCAACGAAATTGTCAACACCAACACATTCGACCTCAAGGTTGCTCAGTCTGGTGTCGGCTGGCTTCAAGACTTGCATGCCATGACTGTACGCGAGGTTAGACTTCCCTCAGAGCTACCCGCATAGTAGATAAGAACATAAGCTGATCCTCGATGCTACAGGTCAACGGTCGCAAAGCAGTGACCCCAAAGCCAGAGACGGAGGAATACAACGTCCGCAACTTCATCTACACGAGGACGCGGCCATTCCACCCCAGACGTCTATGGTCACTCCTCTACGACAAGTTCATTCTGCAGATGGAGGAGCCCGAAGGCGACGACGAAGATGCAATGGATGAGGACAATGACGCTGACATGAGCGACGGAGACGCTTCCGACAAGGAAGATGAGCAATGGGAAGACGACGAGTCAGAAGCAGACGAAAATGAGGACGCCGACATGGAAGACCCCCTTGAGCCCCCCTCCAATCAAGTCATCCTTGCCAACAAAACTGCCAACCCCCTCTTCAACCGTCTCTTCCGCTCAAAGGGCGAGTTCTTCCTCGCGACACGACCACACAGGGCAGGCGACTGGTCCCAGGCCGGCGCGATGCTGACGATGACCGGCGGCCGCCCGTGGTTCTGCACGCTTGACCCTGATGACTACCTCACGGGCGATAGCGAAGTCGACGCCCTTGTCACACACGATATCAAAAAGGGTGGCGAGTGGGGTGACCGTCGGCAGGAGATGGTTTTCATCGGTGAAAAGCTTGATATCAAGGGTTTAGAAGCCGCGCTAGATGCGTGTTTGCTCAATGATGAGGAGTGGAAGAAGTGGCAGAAGGTGATGAGGAATAAGAAGTGGGATGACGAGAAGAAGGGGGCCAAGTTGCAGGATTTGTTTGACGATGGGTTTCCAGACTGGACGGAGGATGGGGAGGGGCATGAGGAGCATGATCATGCCTGAGACCACATTGCTTAGAGAAGAAGACACATGGCGCAGAAGAAAAGTCGTTAGATTCACTTCACGTTCGGGGGGTTAAGTATGATGGTAGAAGATTTTGCTTAAGGTGAACCCTACAACTATGATGCGGGAAGACGAAGCAGAAGAGTATAATACCTGAAAGACCTCATATGCATGAATTGGCCGTCTAGATGACCTAGATTCTGGCTTCTGTCATCTCATTTGTCGGCAATTGGCCTTTGCTTGGGGGCAATGTCAATTGCGCGACAGTGATATCTCGGACCTTGAGGTGAAAGAAGACAACACGCAGTAAAGCCGAGAAAAAGGAATTGTCAGCCACAGTGATGACACAGACTAAGATCTGGGCACCACAGCAGGACGCAAGGTAAGCGATGTGACTGACCAAGTAAATTGAGTCAGCAAGGCATGTCGCCGACGGATTTCGCGATGTTTTGTCGCTGGGGATCACGTCTATGACCCAAGTCAATAGATGCATCGGCTGATCCATCATTAACTTCGACTTGGCAAAAATATACATGAGAGACAACGAGGCCCTTTTTGGCTTCTTCACACAGCATAGGTCTTGGTACGGTCTCATCGGGAACTCACGTCGAGTCGACGACGGACGACCTCGGCTCAAGGGGGCGGGACAATGATCAATCAGGCTAACAGACCCACCGGGCTACACTGCCCGGGAGCCGATCGTCGGCGTCAATGAAGTTGAGACAACGGTCGCAAGTCGGTACCGCGCGCTCGGAGCTGATAGTGGGATCGTCAGTCCAACTCACTGCCCAGCAGGCTCGGTCACCGCTCCGGACAGTCGCCCTGCGGGAAGCACGTATGGCACGCTGGGGGCGGATCCGAATACTCGGCACACTAGGTGACTGAGTCGAGTTGCTGCGAATATCACTACTTGGTTCGTCCTTTCAGTGGTTATTATTGACCGGGAAACGTTGAGGTGGCCCGATAGCCAAGATCGGTGGATGCCGAAGAATCTTTTGCGAAATATTGGGGCGTAATCGCCCACAATGACGATCTTGCTTGTAGACGGAGCAGAATCCGAGTATTTCGGGGGCGTCGACGAGCTCGATCGAATAGGTAATCCCACCGGCGGCTCAGCCATGGAGCCCGATATTAGACATAAACCGAGTATGGAGCCGGCTTTATTTTTCTGTGACGGGCATGACCCCCTTTCGATGGAGACTGACTTGAACAAGAGGAGAACCAGGAGAAGCATAAACGGAGGGAGCGGTCCTTTAGGTCTGACTAAGAAGCCTTGGCGGAGTTGCATGCCTAATTCGACTGGCACTTCACCTCTGGAACGTCCGGGCCAGCGCTGCTCAACTCGCTGGATTGACTCTTAGGAAGGGCTGTTATGATATCTCGGCAGGGCGGCACTTAACGATCGCACTTTATTTTCACTTTAGTTGTGAAGCGCTGGGCCCGACTAGTAAGCCGTGATAACGACATAGGTCGGGGTTGATGCTGGTCTGGCCCGGCCTCCCTCTTGGTCATCACACCGCAGTAAGAGAGGGGAAACTGCAAAACCACAGTTGAGAACTCGAGAACCAAGGTTCACCCAAGTCATTCACTCGGCTGTACATGCCGAGTTTTTGTTAAGGACAGCTTCACAGTTGGAAGCTGCCGCCGAAGAATCAAATACAATCCAAGCGCCGTCCTCCTTTTCTTCTTTTTGGTGGGGGTTTTTTCGTCCCGTGTAAAGTGATCTGCGACAGGGAATAGCCGCCAGCTGGAGTTTTTCTTCCTCGCTGCGCGCCCCTGGACCCAGGTTTCAGGTGAATCCCACCACGGCCACGTCGATCAGGAACCAGAAGTTCAGAACAGAGTTCAGAGTGGCATAACCTTTTCGCGGGATCGCTCTTGAGACGAAAGCTACACATATTGACTCTGGGGAAACACTCGTCTATGACGCTTTTCATACTCTTTACGCGGGTTCGAATGTTTTTGTAATGAATTTGTAAAGGCTCTAGATTTCGGAAAGACCGGAACTAGCCATACGGCAGAGTTTCGAGCATTCTCCAAGCCCAGAATTGTCAAGCCGAGAGCACAGAGTACCAATAAACGGGTATTGACAGGCAAACCGGGCTTGTCACCCGAAATTGACAGCACCAAGTTCGCCAACGGCCAAACCCCGACAAGCCTTTCACGTCGTTGCGGACATGCAGGCGCAGAAAGCCGCCAGCGGCTAGGACGAATAAGGGTGACCACTGTGGATATAGAACAATCTACAAGCGACCGATTCGGGGCTTCGTCCAGCTCGGGCCAGGCTCACCTACAAGGGTATGTGCTGCAAGCGAGCTGTGAGTTTAGATGAACAGGAGCAGAAGGGGAATCGGCGCATGAGCCAAGCTTGGCGACTGTATTTCCACAGATTTCGACAACGTGGGCGGCTCATGAGCAACCCAGGGGTCAATGTCGTCAATCGTACTCTAGTTGCAACCCCAATCCAGGGGTGCTCACCGGCGCCGACGACCGTGTTTGGTGGGAAATGGATCCCGCGTACATGTTGCTCCAATGTTTCAAACGAAGAGCACTTCGACCAAATCGTCGCTGAAGCCTACTCCTATCGTGCGATCCTGGTTGGGTAAGGTCGAGCTCCTTTGGCCACCCTTGCTTTTTCACCACCCCTTTTCGCGCCCATGATGCCTGGGTTGTCCAGATGAAGGTAGTCTACCATGTTGTGGAGAGAAATCTCATCAGGAATGTGGATGGGATGATGGATCATGGCGGCTGACAGTCTGTGGTTTCCATCCTCCTGGTGACCAGGGGTGGTGGGATATCCTCGATATAAGACAACCATTTCTTCTCACTACTTTCATCTTTTCTCTATTCTCTCTTCGTTCTCAACCATCGCTGTGTCTTTTGTCATTGTACAGACCACTTTCTTTCTTTTTGAAACTTCACTTTCATTCATTCCCTGGTGGAAAATCAATCTCTTCATTTTCTTCCTGTCCGATCTTTCCAATCACCGGTCTTCACCAACCAAAACCAAACCACGACACAAGTCAAGATGCGCTCCTTCGCTCTCCTCGCCGCCGCGGCCGTCGTGCCCCAGGCCATGGCCCACTACGTCTTCCCTACCCTCATCGTCAATGGTGAGCAGACCGAGCGCTACCAGTACGTCCGCGAGGCCAAGAACTCCAACTCTCCCGTTACCGATGTCACCTCCGACGGTATCGTCTGCAACATTGGCGGCAACGACGACGACGTCCTCGCCAAGACCGAGACCAAGGCCGTCAACGCCGGTGACGAGGTCGGCTTCATCGTCGAGAACGACATGGGCCACCCCGGTCCCCTCGCCGTCTACCTCTCCAAGGCTCCCTCCGGCGTCGCCTCCTACAAGGGTGACGGCGACTGGTTCAAGGTCTACGAGCTTTCCACCTCCAACATCACCGAGGCCGGTCTCCAGTGGGCTACCTACGTCAACAACGCTGGCATCCACAACTTCACCTTCACTCTCCCCAAGGAAGTCCCCACCGGCGAGTACCTGATGCGCGCTGAGCACATTGGCCTCCACGGCGCCGGCACCAAGGGTGGTGCCCAGTTCTACATTGCTTGCGCTCAGATCTCCGTCACCGGTACCTCCACCGAGACCCCCTCGCCCGTCGTCAAGTTCCCCGGCGTCTACACCGGCGAGGAGCCCGGTCTGTTGATCAACATCTACTACCCCGCTCCCCAGAACTACACCGTCCCCGGTGGCCCTGTTGCCTTCTCCGGATGCGAGGACCACACTGCCAACCTTCTCGGCCAGACCTCCGACGGTGACTGCACTGGCTCCGATGGCGCCACCACCCCCACCACCCCTACTACTCCTACCACCCCTTCCACCTCCGCCGCTCCCTCTGCCGGCATCCCCGACTACAACGGCGGCAACAGCACCAGCCCTGCTGAGCCCTCTGCTGCTCCCACTGCTGCCGCTGGTGAGGGCGATGACTGCGAGAAGTCTGCTGCCCGCCGCCGCGTCCGCTCCATGCGCCGCAAGCTCGCCCGTGCTGCTTCCTTCTAAGCAGTCGTTAGAGTGTAAGAGAGAAGTTGGAAAAGTTTTTGGACGTAAACCCCGAGCTCTGCTACTGCCACTTGGTTGAAGCAGTGCTCAACACATTATTCTTGTACATACGTATGACTTAAGACACTGGATGTAAATGCGATTAGATATCGGGCGATCCTTTGTACAGAGGCGTCCTCATGTTTGAAATATGAGAATCATTCCATATGAAACCTTTACTTGCTCTTCTTAGTGTCCGTGACTTGTCCTTTCTTGTTATTAGAAGCGAAGGTGTTCAAAGACTTTGGCTTTGGCCCTGACCCGAGTCAAAGCCTGGTCACTCGGAGTTTACACGGCGATCACCTATTACTGCCGACAATTTCCCTTTTTCTTCATGGCTTCTCTGCGTCCAGGTGCTACAGTTGATTATGCTCATAGTCTCCATCTTCATAGACGTTGGTTAATGGGCCAGGCATTTGACTCAGTATGGCTGGAAGCAAGACTTGTAAATGTCATGAAAATTGTCCTTGCCAGTTTGTTGATGTGTTTTGCCGTTTGTGATACCCCGAGGTGCCCCTGTCTTCGAGCTGCCGCAAAGTGTAAACATGAAGAAGACTTATCAACATTCTCACAAGTGCGCACATGGTTCTCGTTGTGTGAGTTTCCGCATGGTTTCCTCCTAGGTATCAGATGAAGTAACCTACAAGCAGAAACCAATAACGGGGCCTTTTCGTGTGTTAGTTTTGGATGCATCTCGTGTTCCTCCGAACTCACTTTGTGAACCCCGAGAACAGTTCTAGCTCGTGACAATGTGAGATATTCTTATCCCACTTTCCGATCGTTTGTAAAAACCCGGAAGACTGAAATATATATAGTTTCACTAAGGCGGCTCCGACCACTAGAATGAACATGTAATTCTGCACCAGACTGCGGCATGCCTTCTGTAACGCAAAAGGGGCAAGTGTTCATGCGAGCAGCATCGGCCGGCTTCATTCCTTGTAATGCCTTCACTCCAGTCAAGTCAACTGCGATCTAGATACACGCAATAATACTCTAACCTGTACCTGTAGATGGCTTCGTAGTGTTCTCAAAAACCTGAGTTTCCTAGATCTCCGGTAGTGTTGTTGGCACGTCGAACAAATCATTCCAAGTTATCATTCTCTTGTCAAGATTTAATTGCTACCTCGCCATCATCTGCGAAATGAAGGCGACCATAATTGAAGCCCTACCAATATTCCCCTCTGCGAAGCCTGGATTCAATTCTCATTGTCGTCCACAGCCTAGCTGCCGATGCTCAGTCCCCTTTGCGCTGCTCCTTGGTTCAATACGATAAAGCGGAGCAGATAAAGAACTTTGGCAAAACAAAGGACTTTGAAGCCGTGTCATACACCTGAGAAAGCGCGTCACTGTCCTGCCAGCTGCTCATTGATGGGGTATTCACACTCGATATCAGTCCGACTGCCGATTCACTCTTGCGGCACCACGAAATCGACTCACCTCCAGATCTCTTTAGATCGATGTCATTTACCTCAATCAGCAAGATGCCGGTGGGAAGGCGTAACAAATCCCTTGTATGGGCAGAATTTATAAGGGGCCCAAGGAAGTCCACATATGGCTCGGCGGAGCAGACGACAAGACAACAGCAATCTTCTCCGCCATTCGTATAATGGAAACAGTTCGAGAAATCAAAAACGTGAAATCAATGGAGCAAGCAACATTGGCAATTACAAAGAACGAACTTGGAGACGATCACCTCCTTCACCTCCGGAGCTTCCTCTCTCGCGCATGGTTCTCGCGCCGCTGGATCATCCAGGAGGCATGCTTGGCGATAGAGGCCAAAGTCCACTGCGGAACATCCTCTCTCGGCTTGCCTTGGTTTGTCGCGGCTGCTCGGCGATTGAAGTGTATCGATGATGTCCTGATATCGTGTTACTGCCGCTGGTAAGTCGTCATAATGGAGAGTCTCAGCGAAAAGCGGAAGCCGATCCTCGAGCTGCTCTGAAATCTCCACGCTGCCGAGTGTAGGCAGCCGGAGGATCGGATCGCTGCGTTATTTGGATTGATACCCGATGACAAGCAGATCATAGACCATATGCTCACAATTATTAGCCTTTGTAAGTCGACGAGAAATCAGACACAACTATGCCAATGGAAGACTATATTCGCACCTGATAATACTATGAGGGGATGCGAATAATTCTAACTGAACAGAGTCGCACTGACTTCCGATGGCCCGATATGCAGATCTCGTAGATCTCGAAGCTTGCAGGCAGTTGTGCGTCGAGAGACTGTCAGGTGCATTCCTTTAGCTAAGCTGCCATGCAGCTGGTCAACTCTGGGCTCTGTCGACTTAACTAGCTCTCTAATCTAAAGAAGCACCAGTCAACTAGCGGTTGATGATTTGGAAAACACCACCCGGAGCCGCAACGGGGCGGCAATGCGGAACCGCATCGCCGCTGGGCGGAAATGTGCTTGACGGACTTAGCTTCCTTTGCCCCGGATCTCTCATGCATGTTCCCGCGCCTTTCCCCGCACTCAACCCCCACCGACGCTGATGTGAGGCAGACCAAAGGTATCCGGGTTGAGAACCTTTTGCCTGTTTAGCATCGTGGGATGAACGGTTCAAGCGTTTGCAAAGTCTTCCGGAGACTCAGATGATCTATGACCACCCAAATGGTAACATGAAATCCATCCAATACCCAAACCTCTGGGTCTCTACCAAACGTTGAGGCAACCTCAAAGAGCCTTGGGAACCAACCATCCCTTGCCAACCCTGCGACTTCAAGTGCGGAGAAGCTCCGTCTTAGTTGTCACCGAGCTGCGTCAACGCCCCTCAGTCTGGGGTAATTCGAGCCGCCGGCGGGTCCAGTAGCCCGTATTAAGGTAGAGTTCAAGCTAATCCATCCAAGCAGAGCGCGTCCAACTCGACAGAAACATCCTGAAGCTCCATGATTTGTCCGCGGGGTCAGGTTTGTCTCCCCCAGTTGTCCAGTTCCCCGCATTCGAGGAAGCCGTTTGCGCACTATTGTCTGCAACTGAGAGACAACGTGCGGCGCTTGGCGGCTCCAAACTCCACAAAGGCGCAACGGAGAGGAAAACTGTTGAGAGCTAAGGCGGCACAGCAGGACGCCATTGCTTCGTGAAGTGTGTGCTACAGAGTTTCGTCTCTTTGCCCGATCTATCCCCGGAGGAACCCCTCAAAATGCGTTGTCGCGTCGAAAGCTGTCAGGTGATGTCACGACTCAGCCCTCCGGTGCGGAGGAAGGGAAGCTGTCGATTGGGATGAAGATCTTTCGTCTTGCATAAAGTCTCCTTGAGGACCCTGTTTTGAAGGCATTCCCACACCACTTTTCATCACCATAAGCATCTGACAGACGCTTTGATACCACACCACCAAATCCGAACACAAAACTCGAAACCATGGCAGGAAGCTTTCCGCGAAGCGAGCGCGTCGAGCCGGGCTCGGTCAACCTCCCGCCCCGCGAGTATCCTCCATCCGTTCGCTCAACATCAGTCGATGCGGGGAAGGCCGCGGCAGATGTTGTTCGCGCTTTCAACGCTGCACTAAAATCCAAGGACTACAACAAACTCTCACAACTCTTCGTCGCCGACGGCTACTGGAGAGACCACCTAGCGCTATCATGGGACCTCCGCACCCTCAAGGGCAGGGAGAAGATCCAAAGCTTCCTCAGCGAGGCGTGCCGGCTCAAGGAGGTGCAAATCGACACATTCACTGCGTATCGAGCACCTCACTTTGCGCCGCTAGATGCCCATGGCAAGGTTCAATGCCTGCAATTCTTCCTCACGGTCAAGACGGATGTCGGGCCTGGTGAGGGTGTAGTGCGGATGGTTGAGTCTGGTGATAAGTGGGAAATCTTCACCTTCTTCACGGTTCTGCGCGAAATCGCAGGCCATGAAGAGCCTACGCGGCACCGACGAGAGAAGGGTGTTGATCACGTCCAGAAGCGAGAGAGCAAGAACTGGAAGGAGAAGAGAGATGATAGTGTCAATTATGTGGACAGTGAGCCTACGGTTGTGATTGTCGGTAAGTATTTGCAACACTTGTACAGAACTCCCACTGGGTCACTGAGGCTAACAATTGCGTAGGTGCCGGCCAAGCTGGTCTCACGATTGCCGCACGACTGAAGATGCTCAAAGTCAACGCCCTCGTGGTAGACAAGCATCAGCGCATCGGCGACTCTTGGCGCAAGCGATATCACCAACTTGTCCTCCACGACCCTGTTTGGTACGACCACTTGCCGTATATCAACTTCCCAAGCCATTGGCCCGTGTTTACGCCCAAGGATAAGATGGGAGACTTCTTCGAGGCGTACGCCAGCCTTCTCGAGCTCAATGTCTGGATGTCAACAACACTGACAAAGTCTTCCTGGGATGATTCAAAGAGACAGTGGACCGTCACTCTTGACAGGCAAAAGCCTGATGGGTCCAAGGAGACTCGGACTTTACACCCTCGCCACGTCATCCAGGCGACGGGTCACTCTGGCAAGATGTTTTTTCCTAGCATCAAGGGAATGGACAAGTTCAAGGGAGACCGCCTTTGCCATAGCTCTGAGTTCGCAGGAGCGAAACCCAATTCCAAGGGTAAAAAGGCAATCGTTGTTGGCTCATGCAACTCAGGTCATGATATCGCGCAAGATTTCTACGAGCAAGGGTACGATGTCACAATGGTACAGCGCAGCTCAACATCTGTGGTTTCCTCAAGCTCAATCACAGATATTGGCCTGAAAGGTCTTTACGACGAAGACTCACCCCCAGTCGACGACGCAGACCTCTGGCTATGGAGTTTGCCGGCCGAGCTCTTCAAATCGCTGCAAGTCGGCACCACGGAAGTCCAAAACGCCAACGATGCCGAGCTCCTCTCAGGTCTTCAGAAAGCCGGATTCAACCTGGACATGGGACCCAGTGGAGGCGGCTTCTTCGTCAAGTACTTCCAGCGCGGTGGGGGCTATTACATCGACGTCGGATGCAGCCAGCTCATCATTGACGGCGAGATCAAGATCAAGAGCGGGCAGGAAATCACAGAAGTTCTCCCCAACGGCCTCCGGTTTGCGGACGGTTCAGAGCTGCCGGGCGACGAAATCATCTTTGCGACGGGGTATCAGAACATGCGTACGGAGGCGCGCAATATCTTTGGCGACGAGCTCGCCGATCGCGTCGGCGATGTGTGGGGTTGGGACGAGGAGGGTGAGTTCAGGACCATGTGGCGGCCGACCGGGCACCCCGGCTTCTGGTTCATGGGCGGCAATCTCGCAATTTGTCGGTACTTCTCAAAGATTCTGGCATTGCAGATCAAAGCGGTGGAGGAGGGGATCGATCAGAACAAGAGCCACACCAAGACTTTGGGGACGGCGGGAGGTATTCCTAAACTGTGAGGGCTATACGTGGTTTGCTGTGTCTACTTGATCCAATTGTAACGTGATTTTCTTCGGAACGTTAGCCTGTTAGCTTCTCCTTTTTTGAGCTCACATTGCCTCGGTTTCCCTGCCTCCAGTTCTTACCGTGACCATCGGCCCCACACCACGGTCCACGCCCGCTCAGCCCCGGGGACAGACGGATCCGAGTGTGGCCGCGTTGAACATTCCGCACACAACGTTCCCACGAGCTGGAGATTCGAGATATCTTTTGCCTGACGCGATGCTCTAAAATCTCATCTGGATTATACTCCTGGTAATTATGCCTTACCTGAGTTGACAAGATTGCTGCCCACTTGGTCTGTGTTGTGGACCTTACTCTTGACAGCTCAGATCGGATCTAGGGTCAAAATCCTCAGCTCTTTCAGCAATTCGACCCCAGTCATTTCAGTTCAACAATAGCCCTCCTCCTGGATCATCGATGCTCTTCTGTCCGAATCACCTGAGTTCTGGTCAAAGTCAAGCGTCTTTAAGGTTCGTAAGATAGTTGATATGCTCACAGAGCTCGTGGGGCTCTCTTGAAAATTTGCGATTGCAATCAGCAAAACATCGGCAGAGTGGTGATCTGCGATTTGCGGCATGGTTTCGGACGGCATTTGTGGATATCTTCGTTCACCCCTGGTCAATATTTATCCCCAGCTACGACCTTGGCCCCCAAAAGGCCCCGGACTGTGGAGCAAAGTCTCTTTTGTTTCTCCCGCCAGGCTCTTAGTTCTCGCGACTAACGGGAAGAGATCATCGTTCTGATGGAACTGCTGAGTTGCCGCATTCCTATTCTGGCCTGACTGGAGAGTTTTGCAGACCAATTAGTTCCTACCAAAACATTGCCGTCTCCTTCAGGACACAGCTAGGCCACTGCTGCGGGCTCATATGTTGATCTGTCTTCATCTGATGTAACATGTATAAGGTACGCGCAGTTAAGTGCGTTCTTTATCGGTTCACACATGGGCTTGGGTCGTCGGCAACTTACCCTGTCAATTCCTATTCACTACCCTGCACCCGAAGATTTCGATAAATTTCACATTTAGACTTCCGTATTTTGCGAATGACGAAATCCGAGCTGATCCTTTGTCTTGATAGGGCTCATAGATGGAGTTGGCACAATGATCTTCCCCCGCCTCCGTGGCAGCCGTTCATTCCGGGTTGGAGAAAAGATGCCTGCCGTCGTCTGGTCTCAAACTGCAGTTGATCGGCACTAGAATTGCGATCTCAAAGGGTTATTGCTCACTATTGAACTCTGCCAAGATCACAAACTCACACATGATAGCTGTAACTGATGTACGAAGTAGCAAAAATGTCTCAACTATCAGAATGCTCTTGGTGTCTCTGCATTTGCTGATCAATCTTGTCTGTCACCACGTGGACTTCGCGTGTCCGCCATCGCCGAGCTACAGAGCTGCCCGGGACGTGCGCGTGCCCGAGGCAGGCCTCCAAGAGCAACCGTTGACGCTAGCAATGAGACCAACTCACAGACATTTGACCAAAGGCGCAACTCAAGGCGTGCCGTCGGGCGAGCGCCGAGGTTCCATGCAGGAAATGAACACAACGAAAGAAGAAGTCGGTTTGAGATCGATGATACACACTGTCTTTAGTGCCGACGTTCATGGTTGCACGGTCGGCCACGATCTGTGACAGCTCCCTGGCGCCGACTTCAACGGCCTCGATATTCTGCTCACTCGGCGGCTACACACAAACGAGACCGAGGGCCATCTTCTGAAGCCACCGGATCTCGCGGGAGTCTTCATCCGAACATGCAAAGGCCACCCGAACTGGCGACAGTCCGTCCTTCACTCCAGCATTGCGTCGAATAAAGTTCCGAGACTCGGTTACGCGCAGGATTCGCGACAAGCAGTCTGGTCGCCGATTGGTAAATTCCACATACCGAGCTACGCAATCCATTACTGCTGGATTCAGGGGCAAGTTCGGGGCCTATGTTCTGCAGCAATCCTTCAGACAGGCATCTCTCGATCTGTAACCCAGTCGAGACTGCACTCGCAATTGGCTAGCGAGTGCATCTGGAGCACCTCCCCCCCTCTTTGCGAAGTTGCGGCCATGTCGGCCTGGTGTGTCGAGTCTGTTGGAAATCGGGATAGAGGTCGTATACATGGGGGGTTGGCCCTTGCATCGCGACGCTTGGCGGAATCTCATCCCCTTCCCCGGATTGGTTTCTCACGGCTTCTTGATGGCCGATCCCTGCCAGAGTTGCCTCAAGGGCACCAATGCTACCCCACGGAAGATCTTGGGCCATCGACTAGGTGACTAGTGCGCTCTCTTTTCCCACTCAGCCTCTATTACGACGTTCAACCGAGTGGGAGTATCCATGTCCGCAGAGATGACCCGATAATTCGAAAATTGCACCGGTGCAGGTGGAAACACGGCCTGCGTCTGCTGGGGTCTCGATCTGATGCGGGCAAATTTCCCTGGCGAGGTGAGAGAGTTCGATCACAGATGAAGGCTTCTACATTTCGGTCTTCACAAATCGACTAAAATTACGCCACTCACGCACGTCAATCTGGAGGTCTGTCAGAGATGGCGGCAAACGTCCTCGTCAGAAACCTCAACGCGATACAAGAGACTCAGCAGCAGGCCTCAGTCAGCACCATCGACCATGCCCTCGATGGCCAATCTCGATTTGGAGAGATAGTTGCCATTCTGGCTGTCGGATCCGTTCTTTCGACTGCGGCGGTTAGTCTTCGGGTTTACACTAGGGTCAAGATGCTGCGAACTTTCGGACTGGACGATTCGGTGATGGTGGTTGCTCAGGTAAGCCATAACAGCACCTTTTGCAGGCTTGGACTTGGCGGCTCACACCATTGCCTTTGCAGATGTTCCTCATCGGATCGGCTGTTGCCATTGGGCTTGGTAAGTTCAGATGATACTGCAACCTGTGTATACCGACTAATAGCTTTGAAGAAAGCAAGTGGGGTCTTGGTTTTCACTCTTGGGTTCCTCCCCCTGAGGACTACGTTCCTTACATGAAGGTAAACCCCTATTAGATCCACTCGCACTCGAAGTCTCTACTAACAATATCATCAGTCCTTTTACTCTTCGATCATCGTGTACAACATCGCGACCTGCCTCGTCAAGGTCTCTATCCTCTTACAGTACCGTCGTATTTTCGCCATCGACATTATGCAGAAGTTGACACTATGGGGTCTTGCTTTCATGATCTCGTGGACTGCCATGCTCTCCTTCCTTCTCCCTATGATGTGTCTTCCCGTTGCCGCCTTCTGGGACCCGACCATCGAAGGTCGATGCATAGACTTTCTTGCCATTTGGTACACCATGGCTGGAGTCAACCTCGTAGCCGACTTTGCCATTTTCAGCATGCCGATTCCGGTCATAAACTCGTTGCAGCTCCCTCGCAAGCAGAAGCGAATGTTACTCGTAGTATTCTGTCTTGGCTTCTTGTAAGCTCACCTTTACTGTCACATGCACTCTCACGATTCCCGTGTCTGACTTGTCCTTCACCAGTACTTGCATCATCTCCGCACTCCGAATCCGAACCCTCCGCGTTGCAGCAGACACCAAAGATCCGTACTGGGATAACGTGGACGCCGCAACATGGTCCTTCCTCGAGGTCGCTATAGGCATTTTGGCGGCCTGTCTCCCCACCCTCCGACCAATCTTCGTCACTCTACTGCCACGCCTCTTCAACGCGTCCTCACTACAGTTCAGAAGCAGTGGCAGACCATCGAAGTATGGAAACCCTTACGCTCAGGCTAGCGAAGGCAACAACAGAGCCAGTTTCATGCGCGGACTGGGGATTCATCGCCCTTTGAGCAGCACGGAAGGGTTGAATCACCAAGACGGAGTTGAGTTGTCCGGACAGGAGAGTGAGACGTCGGCTGAGTACACCGTCAGCGTCAGTACAGGAGCACCCGATAGCCTGGACAAAATGTCTCGGGTGAAGAGCAAGAGGGACAGTGTGATGGATGATCAGCATGTTAGGGGACACATTCGGACCACGACTGTGGTGACTCAGGAAGTTACGTTCGAGAAGCCTTCCAGTGCCAAGTCAGAGCCGGACCAGGAATGAAAGGATGAAGTGTCCCTTTTGTTGTGGGTTACTTCGGTTGTATTGATGAGTGGACGATGATTTCTTTTCTTTGTGTCTTGCTTCGATTCATCTTATACCCCCTTTTTACCTCTACTTATTTTCATTCGCTTCTTTCATCACTTAGAGATATTGTCCAGATATTTCCCCACTGCGCGGGTTCAAGCGCAACCTCAAAAATCTAATTCTGTTTGTCTGCTTCAAGACGATCCCGATATATTTAACTCGTACCCATGCCGACCCTAATCGGAGTATTCTTCCAGCACGCTTCGTGGCTCTACATACTTTCCCAGCGGCTTATACTCGATGTCATAACCGAAAGCCCTTGGTCCACCAATGTCCAGGCCAGCTTGCGTCTCCGTCCACCGCGGCGAGCAAGTAATACCAATGACTGTAACTCTATACCCATATTTGAACTCAGGCACTCCAAGAGCTCTGCCAGACTCATTGTCTAAGATCGAAATTAGATCTGGCACAGCAGCAACTATCCTAGTCTTGCCGCCCTCGTCAGTGTGCTCTGCCAAGATGTTCTCGTTCTTGAAAGGAATCTTCATCGTGCCTCCTTGCGCAACGGCAGCGACCCTCTCCTTGTTATTCGAAGCTTCATCTTCATCTCCACTTTCAAAAGCGGCAATATGGACTTCACCGTATGAGTGGCCTTTGAAGAGGCGCCTCTCAACCTTCATAATCTTGCCCCTGAACAAGACTTTGGCAGCCTCGAAGCCACCTGCCTCTTTGATGATCGACTCAGCGACCGTGCTCATTGTATTCGTCGCTTGGCAAAACGCAATACAGCGCCCGATCCGCCATGCAAGAGAAACAGTGTTGAGAACGCCGAATCTCTTGACCCTGTCGCTTGTCGTCGGCTTGGCTGCCATGCCTACGCGCGAACCCATCTCGGAGCAGGAAGCGCGCAGAGCACGGTCGACAATTTCATCGTTGGGCGCTCTGGTCATGACGATTGTCTTGCCGTCTCCAGAGTCTATCGCACACGGAACCAACTCTAGCGGAGCATGCACGGCCAATGTCGTCTGCCAGTATGTTGGGTATGCTCTGCCCATCCAGTCGCCGTCAATGATTGGACTGTCATAGAACCGGGATGAACCAACGAGGAAGGGTTCGAGGCCGTTAGCACCACCAATCTCGAGACCCATCACGGCGTCGAACTTGTCATGGCGAAGGTATTCCATCAGGCCTTTGAAGGCATCTACCGTCTCGATCGACTGCAGTCGTTCGATGGAGACAGCCGGCGAGCCCATGTGGCCTAGTCGAAGTTAGTTCATCACGAGAGCCCCTTGTTTTGACAAGGTGGGATCACTTACCACCCCAGTAGATGACATCTGAATCCTTCAGCGAAGATGGCTCGATAACACGCATCTTGTGTCCTGCTCTGAGCATATTTCGGAGCTGGATCTTCGACGCTGCCGGGCTCCCGCCGCCTGCGCACCCGAGCACGTAACAGCCATCGGCAAGGTACTCCAAGTCAGTTTCGGTAATGTGCCATTCTGAAATGCCGCTCGTATTACGAATGACGGTTGGCTTATACCCGGCTGGATCAACCTTTTCTTCTTCTACGGTAGCCCGCGTCAAATCTTTCGTCGCTTCAACCTGTTCTTCGCCATCCTCTTCTCCGTTCTCCTCGACCACCTCTTCCAGTTTGGCGTGGAGGTCAATGTTGCCAACGGCTTTGACAAGGGTTCGGATCTGGTTGGCGACGTATTGCAGCGGCATTGTCTCGATTTCAGCGATCTCGATACTTTCCGGAATCGCACCAGCAGCAATGGCGCGCTCAATGGCCATCTTCTTGGCGTTTTCAATGGCTTGCTCTTCTGTCTGGTGAGTGGTGCCCTGCACGATATCAACTGCGCCGCAGACACGTGCAATGGCAGCACCAACTGCGTTGGCGACATCGTGAAACGGTGGTCGAACAAGCTTTGAGGCACCTTTCAGGCTCTCTGGTGATAAAATGGCACCTCCACCAACGAGAAGTACTGGGACGGGGTCTGGTGAAGTCTTGATAACGTCGACGGCACCTTCCAATAGTGCTTTGATGCGGAGGATTGCTTCTTCTACAAAGGTGGCATCGAGACTCTTGGCGTGCTCAATTGCACCTACGACTGCTTTGCCAGCTGCGACTGCAATATCTGTTGTCGTGCAAACGTCTCCGCCAAAGACGAGCGCGCGTGTGGTTAGCTCGAGTCCGACAGACTCGGGACCAACTTTGACCTTGCCATCAACGTGTCTGACGATGGAACCTCCGCCGAGACCGACAGAGTGAATATGAGGCATGGAGTAGTTGACTCTTACACCAGCCACCGTAACGTAGGCTGATGCTTGTCGAGGCATGCCTGAGGGAAGTAGGACGCCAACATCGGATGTAGTTCCACCGATGTCAACCACAATAGCAGAGCTGTCACCACCGGTGTCTAGGCCAGCGAGGTATGCTGCGCCGCGCATCGAGTTTGTGGGACCGCTCGAAAAGGTCCTAATCGGTATCTTTGCCGCGGATGCTGCGTCCAGAATTGTGCCATCGTTCTGAGTCAAGAAAAGAGGGCAAGAGAGATTAAGCCTCTTCATTGCAAGACGGAACCTGCTCACAGTCTTCCTTGCATAGCGCAGGATAGCACCATTCAGGATGGCGGCATTCTCTCGCTCAATGAAGCCGATACTCGCACTAGCCTCCTTGCTGCACACGACATCCACGCCTGGGACTTCGCGGAGGAGGATATCGCGAACCTTCTCCTCTTGCCCAAATACTTCGTCGATTGGCGAGTATACACCAGAGACAACAACAGCGCCGACGCCACTCTCGCGAATCTTGACGCACTCAGCAACGACCTGAGATTCCACTACCGGCGCCTCCTGCGAGCCGTCAATGTGTAATCCGCCATCGACGATGCCCACGTAAGACTGGATCACGGCTGCCAGGTCCGGAGGAAACTCGGCGAAAGCAGGCACCTCACGTAAGAAGGATTTACTCAGTCGGAGGACGCCGACGCGCTGCAGGCGACGAATATCGCGCTCAATTACTGCGTTGATAAAGTGCGTTGTGCCGATGGTGACGCTCGCGATGCGTTCTGGCGAGTTGGTCAGACCGGCGGCGGCCAGAACGGTGCTTACGGCGGTCTCAATGCCCGCACTGGCGTCTGGGGTCGTTGGAGTTTTGAAATGCGCCAGGACCCCGCGGTGCGCAGTATTTTGGAGACTCAAGTCGATTGCGACGGCATCCGTGTTTGTTCCTTCGAAGTCAAGCTGTCAGCCAGAATCCTCTTCAGTAAAGTCTCTCTTCGACAAGGCAAGCGGTACACCAGAATGCCAATCCTTTCCGTGTCTAAGCTGGCGGATGGAGCACGTAGACTCACCTCCAACGTCAACACCGATCCGTACGGTCCGTCGTGATAGTGGCATCTCTCCCATCTTGGTAGTGAGAAACAGCTTTGCTCCTAACAGTATCGGCGGTTTGTTGTTTCTGATGCACGATTTTTCCAGCCATACGAATATGATTGTCAGAGTCTCATATAAGTTGTGCCCATCTCTTTTGCTCCAGGCAATTCGCGCCAATAGACCCCGAATGGCAATGTCGCTGGTCCTTGGCCAAAGCTCGTGTCGTAGGACATCATCCCACAGGCATGTGGTCGAATCGGTAAAGCGGTTGAATGAGTTCCCAAAACCACGGCCACGGTCAGATACCGTATGCCACTAGTCTTCAAGATGGCGCAAAGGATAGATAATGAACGATAATCGGGCAGGTACAACCGCGTGTCTCCACCGTGAAAACATGCGCTTAAAGGTCCGGAGACCAGATGCCGAACGATGAGGTTGCGGGGTAAACTTGGATCCCCTGGGTTGTTGATCTTCAGACTTTGCCCAATGCCGTGCTTATCACCGTCTATGCTCCACACTCGCGTGAACTATGATAAGAGCTTCACACCTGCGGAGTGTTTGGAGGCATTCTCCAACGATAAGAAATAGCCTAAGTCGAATTCACACGTACATAATGTTCGCGTTTGGCTTATCGGCAGAGGGTTTGGATGACGTGAAGGTCTGCCAAGCGGGCGCCGATGCAACGTATCAGGGGCATTACCGATATGGAGGAACTTCATCAAACATTCGCGTGAGCGTTGGCTCTCTTCGGGTCCGGATCCATTAAACCAAGTGAATGTCCTTCATCCTAACCCAAGAGCCATCCTGAGACTCTCGGTAAGTTAGATTCGTAGTTGTTAATATGAGTCTCAGCGGTTTTTTGAGATGGGCACGGCTGCCCGACACTGATGTGGCCGAGTCCAACGTGTGGATCAACGAAGACATTAGGCCTTTACCTCCAAGCCGTCGAAGATGGACGACATCGACTTTCATCTCATTCTGGTTAACTAACTAGGTTGCCAGTCAGTGAATGATTGGTGTTAACTAACTTTTTGGCTCAACTGACACTGTGATAGTTTCCAATTGGCAGCTCGGCGCATCTCTCGTCGCTGCTGGACTATCTGTCTGGCAGAGCGTGATTGCCATTGTCATCGGCAAGGTCATCATCGCCCTCGTTGCCATCTTCAACGGACACGTAGGCGCTCATTGGCACATTGGATTTCCGGTTGTTTCACGATATATCTGGGGTGTGTACGGGCAGTACATCATCCTGATCCAGAGAATCATCCTTAGTTTGGTGTGGTTCGCTGTGCAGTCATGGACTGGAGGTTTGACAGTTGTCAACTGGTCAGTAATAAAGACACCAAATCCCTCCACGTGACCTATTACTTACAAAGTCCAGTCTTTCGGCAATCTTCCCTTCATTCGAATCGCTAGGCAACGTGTTCCCCGAGTCTTCGCACCTTACCACCAAGGACTTTATCGGTTGGATCATTTTCAACATCCTCCTCATCCCCATCCTCTACGTCCGGCCTGAGAGGATTCAGAAAATCCTTCTTGCTTTCAACATCGTCTCTTCGATTACTCTGATATCCATCATGATATGGGCTTTAGCCACAGCCGGCGAAGCAGGGTCTTTGGTCCGCCAAGGGTCAAAGCAAATGTCCTCAAGCGAACTCGGCTGGCAAATCGTCCACGGCATCACCACGGTCATCGGCAGCATCGCTGTCGGATTGACCAACCAGCCGGACTACTGTCGCTTTGCTCGAAAGCCCGGAGACCAGGTCTTCGGACAATGGTTTAGCATCATCTTCTTTGGAGCCATCTTCCCTACCTTTGGTTGCTTGGCTGCTTCCGCGACTGGCGTCATCTACGGTGAACCAATCTGGAACCCACCCTTGATCGTTCAAGCATGGTTAGATACAAACTACAATGCCAAAAGCCGTGCAGGGGCCTTCTTTGCTGGACTTGGTCTCTTATGTATCCAACTGAGCATCAACTCTGTTGATAACGCATTCTCCGCCGGCATGGATCTGTCTGGTCTGTTCTGCCGATACATCAACATCAGACGCGGGGCCTACATCGGTCTCGTGCTGAGCATCGCGCTTTGTCCGTGGGAGCTCCTGTCATCGGCAGCTGTCTTCATCAGTGTCCTCTCTGCTTACAGCGTCTTCCTTGGTCCCATTATCGGCATCCAGATCTGCGACTACTTCATCATCCGCAAACGTAGAATCAAGTTGTCGGATCTCTATCACCCTCGTCCGGGTGGCTCTTTTTACTATTACAAGGGCTTCAACCCCAGAACCTTCATCGCCTGGGTGTGTGGTTTTGCGACGCAGCTCCCAGGTTTTGCCGCGAGCGTTACCCCTAACAGCGTCAAGGTTGCGGAGGGTTGGATCAATCTCTATTACTTGGCGTTCCCACTAGGCTTCGCTATATCATTCTTGCTTCATCTGGGCATCAACACCATCTGGCCCCCTCCGGAAGCTGGTGTTATTGATGAGGTGGACTACTATGCGACTTTCACTGATGATGAGGCAAGGAAGCTTGGAGTGTTGCCGCTGGATACCGAGATCATTGAGGGCTCTCACAAGGGTGTTGAGGGGCATAACCCCGAGAAGGGGCCTCGAACTTGGCTGAAGTCTATGCTGGGTTAGGTCGGACATGTTTATTTACGTGAATCTCGTACATGTGATGCTCAAGATAACAGGCAATGGACGTGCGTCAAGTATTAACATTGTGCTATGCTACCCGGCTATCTTTATAGTGCAATATCAAGGCCATCGCACTTCATACTTACATACCTTCATCCATAATTCATTAGACACTAATTACTACATTTAATCTCGATATCCCCGTTGTCGATTGGATGGATCTGTTTATCCGGACTGTGAGCGAGATCCGAATCGCCAGCTCAGTCGGAGCCTCAAAGGTAGAAGTAGCAGAATGGTCCCGACATGGTGTCCATCACATCCTCAATCTTAATTGAAGGGCCCGTGTATCCCATGCTGATAACGTCCGTGAGCTGGGTCTTCACGGATGGTGGGCTGTTGGCCCAGGTGATGTGGCCGTAGTCACCTCCGTTCAGCTCTTGTTGGCGTGCGGTGGGATCGAGCGCTTGCCTGATGGTCCGAATATTAGATGTCATCGAACACGATTGAATACTGTACTTATGCTTACCAGAACGTCCACATGCGGTCCATCATACCGTGATGAACCCAAAATGCAGGGTCGCCAGGTGACGTAAACAGGTCCGCACCTGGATCACCAGAGATGGCGTAATGCATTCCTCCGTGAGGTCCAATTTCAGGGGTGTAAGGAACTCCTTCGCTCAGAAGCCTGTACTCTGAGATGTTGGGCTTGAGCAGCAAGTCTGGGAAGTGTGTCAGCCTCAACATTAGTCACTTAATAGGTTTATGTGAAGATACTCACTCAACACCGTTGTGTAGTTGGCGTATCTTTGGTTCATGGCCGGGCCGACGTCACGCTTCAGGCCGCGAGGGTTATAACCTAGACCACCGTCCGGCCCGGGCGCCGTGCCCTCAAGACCGCCGACCGGGCCAAGATGTACAGTCATGTTCGCAAACGGTCCAGTAGTCACGAATCCTCCGCCGACACCAGCAGGCAATTGGATGCTTGAGCCGCCAATCCCTTCGGGCGGCTCAATGACAGGCCCATCATGGGGGATGTACTCGCCGTTTCCGCCGAGACTGTAAGGGTCTCCATTGAAAATAGGGGACTTTTCAGGTGCGGAAGCATACTTGGGCCAGTCCCAGTACTGATATCTAAGTGTTAGAAAAGGCGAAAAAATTGCGTGGATCAAAAGAACTTACGGGTTGAAAGCCGGTGTAGCCACATTCGTCGCGCAAGGCCTTCTCATAGAGATGAACGAACCATCGATGCCACGGCATAAAATTACCGGTGTAGTGGATCGTCATGGTCTGCTGAATATGGGTCACGACAAAGTCATCAAACTGTACAACGAGTCAGTCAAGCTCAGGTTGCCGCGCCAAAAAAGCTCGGACAAAGCCGTAGATATTATTGCATACCCGAGATCGAGCGCCAGCAGAGACATTGGCCGGTGTTCGTGGTGGCAGGCGTTGAAGACACTTGACGGCGTTCACGTAAGAAAGCCTCTCGTTCAAGGACAGCGCGCCACTATTTGCTCGTCAGTCTCCAGTCTTCGACAATCATTTTGGACACAGAAATCGTCACCTACTACTCCTTACGGAATACAAGGTTGCTTGCGGTGCAGTTGGCAGATTCACCACGCTTTTTTAACCTAGCTTCCCGCTCATCCAGTGACTTGAGCACATCGGCTTGGATGCCGGCAGTGAGATCAGCAAACTGCGCCCTATCTGTGGTTGAGTCGCCGCGTGGCTTGACCGAGGGTGCAGCGAGCGCGACCGAAGCCAGGATGGCTGATGAGAGGACAGACGAAACCTTCATGTTGCACGGCTCTGTCAAATTGAAATGAGGTGCAGATCACAAGAAAGTGTATGTCTCTCTGAACACGACAAAGGCAAAGGGTGGGAGAAACAATTGCACTGGTCAGCAGTTACCGATACTAATAAAGGCGAGCGTAGCAGCGTACGCAGCAGGGGCCTGCGGACCATCATGCCGGTAGGTTGGAGAATTCCCACAGTCATATCGATAGGAAGCTCCAGTGGCTCGATGGAAGACCTGCTAAATCATTTTGAGCCAACAACCGATGCAGGCTTGCGGCGCTGTATGTAAGATGCCTGTGATGTTGCGGTGGAGTGGCAAGGCAGGAAGTCTGGCTGTATCCGAACCAACCAACTCAATTTTCAACTACCTTGCTTATTTCGAAGAAATCACCAAGCTCATCGCATGCTGACCTCACTTCCCGCCTGTGCCGCCCTGCCGTGCCCGCACGCAATTCTCTTAGCGGATCTCAGCAACTGTGGCCATGTATTCGTACCAGTCCTGACAATCCATTATCATGGTACCCCTGTACGGGAAAGAATCAACGGGAGAGTGGCCGCCGCTTCGTCCCGGTTGCCTATCCGTACACCGTGCGATCTATCGGTACGAAGACCGGGGCGCCGGGGTCGGCAGAGGCTCGGCGCTTGCTCAAGGGTCTTTAGGTCGCCGCCGGTACACCTTCCAAGATCAATTTGTTCAAGTTCTCATTGTCGTATTCGCACGATAAAGCATCATCTTGCGACATAAACGTCTCCGAAACCCCCATGGTGTGGTGTTTTTGCGGCCTGTCTCCTTGAGTCGCAAGTAGACCCAGACCCAAAGTTTTTCGTGCCGCCAAGCGGTGTTACTTGAGCGGCGGCACGAAAGGAACATCTGAACCGTCTACTTGGGCGGTTTGCTGAGCTCGGCTTCCAACTGATTATGGCTTTTAGTCTGAATGGATAAATATCAAGAATACCTGTACTCGCCTAGCCGTCTGGAAGCCCAAATTCTGGTCATACTCGCTTCAAGGCTTCGAATCCGAGGGAGAATTGCCTCTTGCTGCCACATTATCCCGCCAATTGTATGCCTTGTAGTGTGGGACTAATCAAAAATACAAGTCATGCCAACATGAACACGATGGGACGCATTGACCATTCAAATCTTTCCTGGGTTCAACCCTTGCGTTGCAGTTGCACTCTTCAGCGACCAATTCTCCGATGAAGGACAAGCGGGGGATTGTTCGAGCTTCAGAAGTGCATCATGTTGTGCAAACATACTGCAAGCATCAAAAAAGAGGCAATTTCAGCCTGACCAAAGTTTCAAACATGCACAGCACAGGTGACAAGGTCTAGTCGATACATGTCGCTGTGACGGCCTGGCCAAGATCACAACCAGGTTGGCTGGCTGTCGCAACTCGCAAAGAAGTAATAGCTCGCATAAGATGTGGATGTTCCCGTTAAAAAATATGGTGATCGTTCGTTGCAGTTGCTGTCACCGTTTTACGTCGGGCATGGCTCACCCCTAACCCAGTCCGACGGTTCGTGGGCCGGCGGCACCAACTGCTGCACTGGGATCTTGACACATAACTATACAGATGCAGTCTGATCATCTAATGAAGTAACACCTCACCGGATCCGATCGTGAGCAACGCGTTTATCCAGAGCGTAGATCCGGTATTGCTGATCCAAGCTTCCCGACTCCAAAGACAGATTCTTGTGGTGAGAGATTCATTAAAGTACGCTAGCATGCAGGGTTGTTGGATATGGTGGACCCACTGAAGGATGGCACTGTTGCCAACATGTTCGTGATGCTCATCAAGCGGGGCATCAAAAATGAACTGTATTGGAAACTTTGACCAACTTCGACGAGAGGTACTCCGTACTCCGCAACTTTGATTGATGTACTAGTACCCCTGAGTAATGGTGTCAAATTCTTCGCAGGATACTGAGCCGAGTCAATCGCCGAGAGTGGGCATTTATCGTCATGTTCCTCCTTAGTACGGAGTAATGTGTAGGCCTTCAACCTAAAAGAGATGATTCGGAAGGATGAGGGAAAGGGCAACGTCAGCCATGAGCCACAAAGCGACAGCGTGGCCGAATCCTGGCGGGCCCTCTTTCACTGGGGAGGAGAATAAAGACAATTCTTGTTCACCGAGGAATTCGGACTGCAGTTTCTCGAATCATTGCTTTTCAGGTTGTCCATGCAGCCTAGCCCGTCATGGGCGACTCAGTCCCCTTCCCACCCGACATAAACAGAGGCAGCGAGATCCTCATAGTATGCGGGACTCTGGTTGGCCTTTCCGTGGCCGTTGTCATCTTGAGAATTTGGGTCAGGGCGAGGCTCGTCCGGCTTGTCGGCCTAGATGACTACTTCATGATCGCAGCTACGGTAAGATATCTTCTCTTAGATTGGCGGTGAATTTACGGGCCGGATTGCAGGAAGGTTGAAGCTAAGAACACCTTTTTCGTCAAGGTCACAATATTTACAGAGATGATGGTCATCATTCCTGAAGTCAACTACGGCGCAGGTCGACACATCCAATACATCGAACCGAAGAGCAACATCGTCACAGGCCTTCATTTAAATTTCGTCACGCAGCCTTTGTGCCTAATTGCGCTGTGCTTGGCCAAAGTTAGTGTGGGCATGTTTCTGTTGAGAATAACGCCGTCTGGAAGATACCGGCATGTCATTTGGGGAATAATCGTCTTCACGGTGTTTTCAGCAATTGGAAACTTCTGTGGGTTGATCCAATTCCAAAGCTTTGGTATGAGCGGTCGAAAGCGATCTCGTGCTGATATCAGATTAGTGACCGTCTTCTCCCAATGTCAGCCGCTAGCATTCACGTGGGATTTCTCTATTGAAGGAGGAAAGTGCATCCCACAAACAGATCTCAAGTTCGCTGCCTTCTTCAACTCGAGTGAGTTACATGATATCCCTCTTTCCGAAGGGTACGTCGCTCTGTAGGCTAACAACTGTAAGGCGTATCTGTTTTGACCGATCTCCTTTTCGCCTTATTGCCAGTACCAATAATGTGGAAGGTGCAATTAAACTGGAAAGTCAAATCTGCCGTCATCGGAGTGCTGTCTCTCGGAATTTTGTGAGTCTTTTGCACGAGCTTCGAGAGCAAGGAACGCTGACAACTACTTTCAAGTGCGACTATAGCGGCGGTTATCAAGATATCCTTCCTATCTGGTTATGGAAAACATGGCGACTTCTTGTTCAACAGCACTGATATAACAATTTGGTGAGTTCTCTACTATCTTGGTGGCCATGCACTCTGAATGTCCGCTTTTTGACGTCTTCGATTACTAGGACGACTGTCGAAATATGCACTGCGATTATTGCAGCCTCGATACCATGCCTCAAGCCTCTATTTAAGGCCATACTTGCTGGGTCATCAGCCGAACAGTACAACTCGTCGAAGTACAATAACGACGGGTATATGCGGAACAAGAATGCGAGCAAATCTAGAGGGACGCACACCGCAGAAGGAAACTTTGAGATGTTTGGGCAGCCTCGAAACACAGCTGCTATTCGCTCGGGCTTTCGCTCCAAGATGGGTTCAGAGGAAAGCATTATTCCGGACCACGGTAGCGGAAGCGAAGGAATAACAAAGACGATGCAGGTGTCTATATTTGTAGATGACGAGCAGCAGAAGAGCCCTAAAGATCTTGTATAAACGAGTGAATATGAAATAACATGCGGAGAATACTCCTCAATGACATGACCTTAATATTAGCCAATGTTGCTCTTCCATGAACCTACCATGCGCAGCGTTCCTATTTGCCGAGAATGAGGCAAGCCCGAGGTTATTCCATCACTTAAGCAGAAGAGGTAACCAAAAAGGCCCCTAGTATCACCATGAAATTATGTCTACAGGTCCCTCGACACAAAGTCATCGGAACTATTACTGAATGTCACCTACCGCCGAAGATCTGAAGGAATCGGCCAGTAATGCCTACAAAGCAATCGCCCACTCTGATGTCCTGGTGAGGTACATTACACCACCAAGTCTTGACGTCATTGACATAAGCAACTCAACGGTTCTGTATAAAATGATCAAAGGTACAATTCCCGCTGACTGGAGCGATTGAATCGCTGACTGTGCGCCTGGCCATGCGCAGCGGGACTTATTCAGATCCTCAAAACATGCAGAAGACGATTTCCATCAAAGAGTTGTAAGTGCATGGACTCGCGATGAATAGCGTTCGGCTGATGGCCGACAACGTGACGTTTCGTCAGAGCGTAGAACAATGCGTCGCGGTCCAGGTTTCAATTCCTTGAAAACGCATGCAAAGTCTGTGCAAAAAGTTGAGACCACACCTCCGTGATGAGAAGATGTTAAAAGCAGCCTATTTCTGCACACTGCTTTTTCTTGCCCTTCGATCCTGACTTTACGACTACTCACCCAATAATTCAACGGCTTTGATAAACCTCATCGCCAAGATGAAGTTCTTTCTACCTCTCGTCCTTTTTGCTGTCGCAGCGACTGCCGCAAGCCCTGCTCTCCTGACAAAGCGCGCCGTGTATCCTCAAGAAGGCCAAGTATGCTGCAGACACGACCGGGCCGAAAACTGCGTAAGTCGTCTTCCTCATACAGTTGGGATTCTCGATCTTTTGTGGCTAACTGATCAATGCGAAGATCTGCGTCGCTCGCGACAAAGGGGTTTGTCAACTGTGAACCATTTAGAGTCTAAGCCTACGGCTAACCATTACACAGGAATGCAACCGAGGAATTTGCATCATGTAATTACCAATAATAACATACAATAAAACCGCTCTTGCGTATTCATTTGTGGAAGAACTAGGGTGGCTCATAGTCATCTTCTTTCTGGTTATGTGCTGGTCCCGGATCTTGGCGGAAGTCCGGGGACTGTCGGTTCTGGAGCGCTCAGACGCGGTGTTTTAGGCACAGAACTGCGATGTGCTCGGCTGTTTGGACGTTTTGCATTCGGTCGCAGGCGGATTCTGGAATAATCTGAGTGTAAACACAAATGGCGATGAACCAGAGATCTCTTCACCCTGCGGGTGGTGCTCAATTGCCGAACGTTCCCCACATGTTGCTTGCGGAATTAATGAGGGTTCTGAATCCTCTTTAGCATCGATGGTCGGCCCTGGCCTCTCCCTCCGGCCGAATGCTTTGAGAAACACGCAGCGTGTTTCGATCTTGATTCTATTAACAAGAAGTGAGCCAGTGAGCAAGAGCAAGCAATTGCCGTAATACTATATAACATAAGGTAGATTAACAACACGATAGACGGAGGTAGGTCTCCACTCTAGAGCGCGTTCATCGGCCGGCAGGAATGGCTTTGACCGATGTGCCGTAACGCCGGTAGCCGGCAGCTAGCAATGAGGGCCGGTCCATGTTATCGAGCCTGACTCATCGCAGCAATTTCCCTATTAGCAGGCTCTTTTACTCAGTCGCTCAGCAGCCTCCGAATAGGCTTCAGGGACTAAGTTACCGTAGCCTGTATTGAGTCCCCGTGGACCGACCGACATCGGCTTGCCTTACAATTGAGCCGGAAAGTTTCCTATTGCGAAAAATCACACTCGTAGTGGATGGTCTCTTGCGTTCCTGAGCTTCACGTCATTGCATTTACACGGCTACGACATATTCATCGTGGACAGCCATGGCGTCAATTAATCCAGAAGCACCCCTCGAGGGCCAAGGTCGCGTTCAAGTTTCGGTGTACTCTCGCTTCAGACCCTTGCAGAAACGCACGATTACCGCCATTGCTGCATTCTGTGGCTTCCTTGCTCAAATCTCAACGACCAGCGTATTAGCCGCAGTTCCAGAGATCGTTGCAACTTACAACACCACGGCGAATGTCATTAGTATCAGCAATGCAGTCTACCTTGCGTTCATGGGCCTTTCGTCGTTCATATGGGGGCCTTGGGCCGACATTTTCGGCCGTCGTTCTGTATGTTATGTTTCCAAGAATACCGTATAGGACTGGACACCTCTGACTGAGTCATAGGCCTATCTCTACAGCCTCACACTATTTCTTGTTTTCACAATTGGAACGGCTTTGGCGCCTCAACTGGAGCTGTTCTTTCTTTTCAGGGCTTTCACGGCATTTCAGGGAACATCATTTCTCATTCTTGGATCTAGTTGCATTTCTGACATCTACCATCCCGTAAGATCATTCCTAACAACCATACCTTTGATCGCGTAACTACTGAGGCTTACATCTACCTCTCCCGGCTGCAGACTGAGCGAGCCACATCTTTGGGCTGGTTCTTGAGCGGCACAACCATTGGTCCGGCTTTTGGACCGCTTCTCGGGGGCATAGTCGTCACGTTCACTTCATGGCGCGTCATCTTCTGGATCCAAGCTTCACTTGCCGCCACCGCACTGGTTCTTGTTTTCTTCTGCCTCCCCGAGACTCTTCACCAATCTCGTGAGAGCGAACTGGCAGGGCTCGGACCAGTCCAGAAATGCATCAAGCTTTGGCAATGGGGAAACCCAATCAGAGTAGTCAAGATCTACGGCAATAGAAACATGCTTCTCATTGTAAGGTTGCCCTGCTCCTTTCATGTTGTACTGATAATGCTGTCAAGACACTAATCCGTTAAACAGTGCCTCGCTTCCTCATCTCTGGTTTGGAACATGTACTCTTTACTCACCCCCATCCGATACGTGCTGAACCCCAGGTTCCACCTCACTACGCCACTGCAATCAGGGCTGCTCTACATTGCCCCTGGATTGGGATATGTAGTCGGCTGCCAGATTGGTGGGCGATGGGCTGATTACACCGTTAGCTCATGGATCCGAAAGCGCGGTATACGCTTGCCCGAGGACAGACTCCGAAGCAGTCTGGTTTTCCTCGGCTTGATGTTGCCGGGATCGATGGTTTTGTATGGCTGGACGCTAGACAAAAGATTCGGCGGCATCCCTCTGCCTATTATCTGCATGTTCCTTCAGGGTATCGCGCAGTTGGCTGCGTTTCCGAGCTTGAATGCTTACATTCTGGATGTCATGCAACATCAAAATGGGGAAGCTTCAGGTAAGTTGAAATATCCGCTTTCTGTGATCACGCGCATGATATCAATGCTCAAGTTCTTGCAGCCAGTCACTACCTGATGCGATACATGTTTGCTGGCCTCGCAACTGCGTTGTGTCTTCCTCTGATAGAAGCTATCGGTGTCGGCTGGGTTTCAACAATGTCAGCTGGAATACAGTTCATCTGTGCTGGGCTAGTATACCTAACCGTTCGACTCGGCGAGGGCTGGCGGCAAACACACCAACTACCTGTTCCACTGTAGCCAATACATGGTTTCTATATCAAGAGTACTGTCTTCACTTCACCTTTACGCGGTTTAGGTTTGGTACTTGAAACAGTATCTCCCGAAATTCATATCAACCTTGACTTGTATGTACACTGTACTAGGTAGCTAGAATTACCACTTTTCCACATCTATATACACGTATTCGGCTATATGCTGGGCTTTGTTCACCAATACTCAAATGCATTGTACCTGATGGAGATAGACGCCCACAAGACTTAATCAGTCTCATCGCCCGTCGCAAATTCTCCAGCCTTAATTTTGTCGCTAAGGGCCTTGTTCTCTCTAATATAAACGGCAAGATCAGTCCGCTTCTCGAGAAGAAGATCTGCAACAAGGCGACCAAAGACGACTTCTCCAGCGGAGTTCAGGTGCGTGGAGTCGCCCGAAGCAAGGTCGTACTTGTGCCCGTTTTCGTTTCCGATGGCGTTGATGTAGTTGGTGCTGGCGGTGTTGAGGTCAAGGTACGTCGCACCCACGGCTTCCGCGGCGGCGATGGCTCTGAGGCGCTCGGTTTCCAAGTTCTGGATGACCTTGCCGCCGCTAAATGTGCGGCGTGTAAGTGATGTGATCAAAATCTGCGTTGGATGTCAGTAAGACAGTTGGGTTTCCTTTCACTTCCATGTTTACTCACGGGGATTCCGCCAGCAGCCGTGACTTCGTTAGCCAACTTCTCCAAGTTCGCTTGGAACTGGTCGGCAGAGATGTTCGCCGCGGCCTTTTGGTCATTGTGACCAAACTGAATCGTGACAATCGGGCTAAACGCATCTTTATTGGCTTCAACTTCGCCAATCACGGTATCCCAGATACCCTGAGCCCGGAAAGACACGGTGGTCGCTCCGCTCTTGCCGTAGTTCTTTCCATCGGCGGGCGACTCAACAAATGAGAGGAAACCATTTCCCCAACCTCCGCCGATGGCAACGGTGGAATCGCCGGTCAAGAGAAAGTATGGCGGCTTGTCATCGCGCGTCTGTAGCGCGCCAAATGGAGTCAAAGGAACAGCGGAGACGGCCGTCAATGCCGCGGCGAATATTGTCAAAGTTTGGCTGACTCTCATTTTGGAGCTTTAATAAGTTTTGACTGGAATGACCGGTGATATCGGTGGTAAATGCTGAACAACCTCAAAAGACAAGAATGTGATCGGAAAGACTGCAGCTGACTTCATAACTGGGCTTATGAGCCTGAGTTATTGCCATGAGTATTGAGTCTTTAATCTACTTTGCCCCTTCTAACAAACTGTCAAAGTCGCATCGTCGCATCGTCGCATCTCGGCGGAGACTGAGCCGAAAGCAGCGATCACGGCAAGCAGGGCACCAATGCCGCGATGTCTCCACGCCAATCCCACCAATAACTTTAACTCCTCTATAGTGAAGCCTTGCGCACCTCCTGGAATAGTCAAGGTTCGACTCATGGCGCGGCACAATTGCTGCGGAGATGAGATCTTGCTTCCGCTGATCGCACTGCCAATCTGGACGACCTCGGGCAACGGGAAGCTTGGCATGCAACAGTGCGGGGGAGTCCACGCCTGTCACTCGGCCTGTTCCGTGGCATGATTCGGCCGACATGCGCGCATCACGTGTGCGGTAATTACTTAAGTTCCGTGTGATGTCTCTACGTGTTCCGCGACCAAATCCAAGTTTTGCGCATGATTTTGGTTCCAGCCAATCTTTGGCGAGTTTATCTAGAAGGTTACTGACATCGTTCGCGATTATAGACGACGACTCTAAGCACACAAGCAAAAGTATCTCACTTACGCAGTTTTAGTGAGTACAGTTGTGATGTCCGAAAGTGACGTCACGTGCCATGGAAAGAAAGTTGGTCCAAGGACATTGCAGAGTTAGCTATTAACTCTAAATTACTTCATCAACATCAAAATGACTTCGCCCAATATCCCAGCCTCGGCATGGACCATCTGTTTTGATCGAGAGCCTATCATCATTATCGCAAATTTGATTTTGCCTTCCTTGCCTTGACTCACTGGGACAAAACACTTTCCCATGAATTGTCCGACAAAAGTTGGTCTTTCGGGATTGGACGTTCGCAAGTTCATCACATGATGTCTAGCCTCATAGGGATTGTTGAGATGTCTCACATGCATGATGCCCGGTAAGGCAAGCAATGACGTGATGCACGATTACCTGGAGAGTAAAACTTGAAATGTTGACTTGCAATAGAGTTTACACAAGACAAGTACAAACCTCAGATTGCCGGCACCATCCAGCCCAGTGCAAGACAACGGGCAGGCAATTTACCATTCGCAGTTTCAAGTTCATCTTACTTGCCATGAGTGAGATTCTTTCCGAAGTTGTTCTTAACACCATATTATAATCAAAATTCCAGTAATGGCATCCTTTCAGTTATTCTCGGAGCTCCCGTTCGAGCTACGTATTCAAATATGGCATCTTACGAAAGAGCCGCGGGCCTTAGTCATTCGAACCTGTGATGAGCCCGCAAATACCGCCGTCAACCACTCGAGTCTACCTTGATCTACTGCCATTCGCCGAATGTTGTTCCAGCAATCTTACAGACTTGTCGAGAATCGCGCAACCTCGGTCTGTATGCCAGAGCGTTCGCCGGTGGCTTGAAGCCGCGATATGTCTGGGTTGATTTCAACATTGATACGATCTACGCTACGTTCTGGGACCTCAAGCTTATGGTACCCGACAAGAGCCTCTTCCAGCATTTGGTGGTGGAGATCAACGATTTGCAAGCCTTCGGACGTCACTACACTGATGCACTCGCTGGTGTCGGAGATCTTGGCACATTTCAAATCCTTTCGAAAAGGCCTGGGGGCATAGAAGAGATTAGCTTTGCGATTGAGGATCGTCCGATGACAGATATAACCTATGCTATGCAGCGGATGTTCACAATTCCCACAACTATGCTAGAGGGCCATATTTAAGTGTAATTAATTGACCATGGTATTCGGCTCTCGAGAATACTCTTAATAGAATATTCATAACCGGTACCATCCCGTTTCCCGGCCGGCTATGAGTGATGATGCTCTTCCTTCTCCCCTTCTGGCGGGAAGGGCGGTTCGGCCCCCTCAACATTGGGGTCCCAAGATGGATTGGACCCGGCATCGCGCCACCGCACCGATCTTGATCCATGCTTGTTCCAATCTAGAATGGCGTCAAAGTCTCTACAAGTGTGCATGGAAGACCAGTTGGGTAAAGCATCTCGTCGCTTGGGGTTATCCAGGGGATCCACGAACAAGGCCGGCGTGACATCCCCCTGGCATTGCAGGTTCATCCTCAGCATGTCGATGCAGTGGTCTGTGGTGTCAGATTCGGTTCTTGTGGTCCAGACTTTCCAAGAATATTAGACTCACCAAAATGGCTGTAGATATTTTCTTCAGGGACACCCTCATCCAAGAACTTATAGTGCTCATAATTGTAGAACAGACCCATCCTCAAAGAGTTCTAGAATGCCTTAGTGTCAACACCAAACAGTGGTCCTTTGAAGGTAAGTTAAGGGCCTACTAAGCAGTGAAGCAGATGGAAGACTTCAAGCATTGCTAAATAACCGCCTCCATGCTCATCGGGAACTTTGTGGAATGGCATTTCCGGGGAGTCGGTCATGTTGAGCAGCTTTAGTTCCTCGGCAGTGACCCGGATGCCGCCAGCCCCAAGTTCAATCTGGTGCCATGCAATGTCGACATCGTTCGAATGCGTCCCGGGAGGACCGCGCCATTTGTTCGTCTGTCTGAACTCAGCGTTGTAATGTTCCGGTGCTTTGTACTTGACCGCCTCAAATGCAGGCGCTGCAGTCATGGATCAGCCAGTAACAACTTTTACGGGCGAAAGACAGACTCCGTACTCACACATCGTCGATAGGCTCTTAGTACATTGTTGGAGAAACACTGTTCGAGACTGACTTGGGCTGAGATTATAAAACAGGACAGCAAGTGTGATGAAGTTCGTTAAACCAAGACAAACCGTAGACCGTGGCCAACGATGTGCAAACCATGACGTGGAGGCCGACGTTTCGCCTGCTTTGCTCTCCGACTGCGGCAGACTTTCATACGATGCTTTCAACTTCCACCACATCTCTATGAATTACCACCAGATAGTTCGGGGAATGGGAAGATTCTCTAAGGGTGTTGTTGGCAAGAACGGGAATGGGATAGAGAGAATGGCAGACAACAGGCCCCAACTTAGCTTCCATGCACCATCGCGTATGATAATACTCTGCCGCCCACCTCCCGCACAATCGTCGGCATGTCTATGTGGCAATCGGCCTGCCCCATTACGCCTTGTATGGGCCGATGGCACTCTCTGCAGCCTGCTTCTGCATAGTGCGATCCTTCAACTTCTGAGCTTCTTATTCAGGCCTAGTTTCCGCACAGGAGCCGCTTCAAAAATCCCAGGTCATCATACTGTGGACCACGTCAACATAAGCTTCGCGGCTAAGCCCATCCATTCAGAGCAGCGGGAAGGGATGCACATCTAGAGGACAGGGCATCCCCAATCGTGAAAGTCCGAGAGTGCAACACAATTGGAAGCGCAACCCCGCCACCGTGGGATCGGATTCCCGGCCCAGGGCCTATCGCTTACTTGGGCTCTTGCATCTTTCTATGGCCACATGCGCGAATAGAAGGTTCGGGAGCTCCCAGGCAACCGTCAAACCCGAAGGGTATACGTCTTAGTTGCAGATATCTAATCGTGAAGGGACTGCCTTGATAGGTTATATCTTATCCATCATGCTCCGATTCTATTTACCTTCCCTTCTAGAACTTACGAACCCGACTATTTGGCCAGAAGATGAGTAGGAAAGGATTGAAGGAACCTTTGAAAGAAGAGCTGCAGGATCCGATAAGATGCAATAGGTTAGAGGGATACGCCATCCGAGACGCCCAAAGAGGGGATATTTCTCTGTCACATCGCGGAAGACAAGGGCAGTCGGGCAGTATATAACCGAGTTGAGCTAAATCGATCACTTCCTGGATCTTCTTTTCAAGCCGTTCATCTTCTCATTTCTCGCGATCAATTTAAGTACACCGCTACCATGCAGCTGTCTATTATCACCGTTCTCGCCCTCCAGGCCATCGGCGCTGTCGCCGCTCCCGTTGCCACCCCGGCCGCCGACTACGCTGACCTTGCTAAGGACTCAATCTACATCAAGTCCGTCAGCACGTACAAGCGTGGCGAAGAAGAAAAGCGCGAAGCTGGCTATGCTGATGCAGAAAAGGCCAACATTATCATCAAATCGGCCGGAACATACAAGAGAGATGAGGAGAAGCGCGAGGCTGGTTATGAGCAGCTTGCAAAGGACTCCATTCAGATCAAGGCCGTCAACACGTACAAGCGGGATGAGGAGAAGCGTGAGCCCAGCTACGCGGATGCTGACAAGGCCAACATCATCATCAAGTCTGCTGGAACATACAAGAGAGATGGAGAGAAGCGTGAGGCCGATTACGAGCAGCTGGCCAAGGACTCTATCAAGATCAAGGCCGTCAACACATACTAAGGTAGCGTGTCGAGGGGTAAGCGAAGTTGGCAAAGGATACTATGGTCATCGACATAGCACCGTGTGGATGGTAGATGCAGGTGCTTGGTATGCGATGGAATACTGGACATGCTCTATGGCTAGTGGGCTAAAATTGACATTATGACTTTCTTTAACGCACAACTTCGATGTCAATCACTCACATCGTTATCCTTAAAACTAGTACCTGTACTCAGGTTTACTTCATTCTCCTCACCATCTTCGTGTGAGTAAATAGACTAGGAATGATGCGTCGTCGAAATTGAGTTACCAAAGTCCCTACTTCCAAACAAAGTCTTCACCGCTAGCCCAAGAACGGTGTGAGGCTACTGCGGGAAGAGAGACAGTTCTTTGACCGGCCATTCATACTTGCGCTCAAATTCAGTCTCAAATGACCATTCGCCTGATCCTACCACCTCCACCCTCTTGTCATCTTTGGTCGGCAAAACTACTTCCATCTCAGTGAGAGGTGGCACAGCCACATCCACCTTGAGTCGTAGACGCCCGTCTCCTCCATCAACCAATTTCCATGCGCAAGAGACATTTCCATATGGGGTGACATGCTCGGCAGAGGCATGCGTAAACTCAGCGCCCAAGATCGGCTCCGCTCTCGACCGTCTCCATCCAGGCTCCAAGCGCTGCAAGCCCGCAAGCCTCTCAATGAGGAACTTGGCAACCGCCCCAAAGGCGTAGTGATTGAAAGATGTCATGTCGCCGGGGTTGATTGTACCGTCGGGCAACATGCTATCCCAGCGCTCCCAGACCGTCGTCGCCCCCATTGTGACGGGGTACAGCCACGAAGGACACTTACGGTTGAGGAGCATCGCGTAGGCTACATCGCTATGACCAGTGAGAGTGAGAGCTTCGCAGATGTACGGTGTTCCCGCGAAGCCGGTGCCGATCCTGAAGCCGTTGCGGCGGACAACTTCTGCGAGTCGGCTACCTGCCCTGACTGCCTGTTTCTCCGAAATGAGGTCGAAGCAGATTGCTAGGGCGTACGCGGTCTGCGAGTCTGACGTAAGACGCCCATTGCTGCTGATGTATTCGTCTTGGAACTCCCGGCGGGCAGCATCGGCTTCTTTCTGATAGCGTTCAGCGTCTTCGGGTTGACATAAGAGCGCGGCGATCTTGGCGATTAGGTCAAGGGACCTAACAAGAAAGGCGTTGGCGACCAAGGGCGGATCAGTCACTGCCTTCATGGGCTCGTCGGGAGGTGCGTTGGGGTCCAGCCAGTCCTTGAAAAGTAAGTGAAAACATTCGATCCCTGCAAATTGTCCTATAACTTACACCAAGCTGGAAGAGACCAAAGTCCCAAAGATGGGTAGAGCCGATCTTGTTCCGGGGAATCACGTCAATCCAAGTCTTCATGGACTGGTATTGGTCTCTCAAGATACCAAGATCGGCAGACTCTTCGTAAAGTGCCCACGGTGCAAGTATCACCACATCATGCCAGATCGCGTTGGCGCCAATCTTGCTCCAGTTCTTCTGTCCGATGAGCACGTTCGGGGACACCATCGGCGGAACGCCATTCAGAACCTTTTGATCGTGGGCAACATCGGCTAGCCAGTTCTTCAGAATCCCGAAGCAGTTGTAAATGAAAGTAGCCGTCGGCGCAAACAATGCCAGATCTCCCGTCCACCCCAGTCTTTCATCTCTCTGAGGGCAATCAGTCGGCACGGACAGGAAGTTGCCGCGCATTGACCACCGGACGTTGCTGTAGAGCTTGTTCAAGTCATCGTCAGAGCACGAAAAGTTGCCGACTTCTTCCATATCTGTGTGGCACACGCAGGCCTCAATGGAGTCTTTGAGGATGGGCGCGGTCGAAGGCCAACCCTCGACTTGGACGTAACGGAAGCCGTGGAAGCTAAATCGCGGTTCCCATGTTTCGCCCTTGTCGTCTCCTCTGAGAGTGTAAATGTCCTCGGCTTTGCAGTCTCGTAGAGGTCTAGTTCCTAGTTCCTCTTTTTCTAAGACTTCCGCGTGGCGTAGAGCGATTTTGCTGCCTCGCTGACCTCTGACATTGTTGAGACGAATGAATCCGACGAGGTTCTGGCCGAAGTCTAGGATTGTCTTGCCTGAAGGGGTCGTGATCAACTCCGCAGGTTTCACATATTCGAGTCTCTTGACTGGTTCCCCGTAGCCGCATATGAGATCCGTCGATTCAGGGATCTGAGGGAGTACCTGTACTGTATCCCATGTTCCGGAAGGTGTACCACTGCTCGACCATCCCGGCATATCCGCGGTAGCGTCGTACTTCTCGCCGTCGTATATCTCTGCAAGCTTAATGGGTCCTTGAGTAGTTGCCCAGCTACCATCCGTGGCCACAGTCTCCATGAAACCATCCTCATATTTGATTTCAAGCTGGGCAAGAGCTGCAGTCCGCGTACCCCAAATGCTCCGTTTACCACCTTCGAAACCAATGCGACCATTGAACCAGCCTTCAGCCACGCGGATGCCGATGCAATTCGACGCATTCGATGTAATCTGCGACGTGACGTCGTAAGTCTGATATTGCAGTCTCCCGTCGTACGCCGTCCAACCAGGGGCCAAGAAGTAATCGCCCACTCTCTGGCCATTGATCTCAGCTTCGTAGACACCCTGTGCCGTAGCGTAAAGTCGTGCAGAGCGGACTTTGCCCTTCGCTTTGAAGACCTTTCGGAATAAGTCCTCCGATTGGGGACCGCTCTGGCTATCTTCCGCCCACGGCGCCGAGATCAGTTTACCGGTCCAGTCGCTGCGTATTTGAAGGCCGGTCTCAAAAATAAAGGGTTCGCTCCATGGCGAGAAGTCGTTTTCGTTTTCGCCTTTGGCCCTCACCTCTATTGAGTACGTTTGCCGAGATTGTATGGTGATGTCTTCGGGCCATTCGGCTGACGGTGAGCTGCTCTCCTGGCTGCCGGACTTGTTCTGGATAACTGAATGAGACCCGTTGGGGTTCTGGATCTTGACTTCCCAACCGCCAATATTGAATTTTGAGGGCGCGTTGCTGAATCGCCAGGAGATCCGAGGTCTCTCTACGTGGATACCGAGGGTATACGGCTGCCGATAATGATCGACGCGTACGTCAACCACACGGAGCCCTGCCATTGTGGAATGCCCGCGTCTGCGTCTCAGACTGAATTCACGCGGCTGTAATTGTATCTGAAGACTAGGACTTGCTACGTTGCTGGGGTTGTAGAGAGAAGAGTCTCAAGAAGTTGTCTCTTGTTTCTAGTCAACCGCAAGTGCCATAGCTCCATATTTCAACCATTTGAATAGACGCCATCGGTGCGATGTTATAACGAACGGACAAGAAGAGACCGACAAGTTGTCTGAGGTTTGTCTGGTGAGGTGTGGATGGCCGCTTTTCTGGAGCTTGATCCTAGGGAAAGGAGGGGCGTTTCCGCACGCTTGACGGAACGACCAATCAGATATCTTGTCTACTCCGAAGTAAAGCCTCCAGAGTCCAAAATAGGAACATTGAGACTTGAAGAGTTGCCGGTGTTTTGCCAGCCCCTCACGTTAGTTTTCCGTCGCGTCCGACCTAAGATCTGGTAGCTTCGGCAACTCATCCTTGCATCCGATGATCCATTCAACTCGGGTTCTCAAGTCAAGTATCGATGTGGTCCAAGTCTGTCCGATGAGATCAAACGCTATACAGAGGCGCTGCGTGGGACGGGATCAGGGTGCATCGTCCTCAGTTAAACGGTACAAACGCGCGGAATTGGACTTACCCGAGACAGCGCTGACCGATAATAACAGAATTCATGGGACGTTATCGGAGTATGCTCAGGATAACTTCAATTCTAATTCGGCAAAGTTGAATCAGTTGACCATGGCAAGTGTGAGTGGATGGAACTATCTAGACAATCAAGAGCACTCGTGAAAACGACTAGGACAGCGTAATCTGTCTCTAACGTGATTAAGCACTTGGCCTATCTTCGATTTGCATAGGATATTGGTGGTTGACATCGTATTCGATGCATCATTAGCTACTATATTACAATGAGAAATCGCTGCTAGCCTGTACATTTTACAACAAAGAAAATCTTGGGTATACAATGTGTGCGTCTAGGTTCACTGGTGCCCTGACAAAAACTTCTTCCACCGCTCTATTACCTCGTCCCTCTCAGCCTCCGTCGACCTCCTGAAATCGTCGATGCCCTGCCGTAATCGAATAAGCAATACCTCGGCCTTGAGCGCCGTAAGCCTGTGTTTTGAGAATTCCTTTTCTATGCCCTTTAACGTGTATCCAGGGAGACCAAAAACAGCTGCATGACTGTTAGCATCTTTTCCTCGAAAGTAGTGAGGCCTCAATCCCCAAACATTGCGTAGAAAAGGGGATGGAGACACAAGAGACTGACCAGCAAAGATATTGAACGTAAGCCCGCGACCAGCCTGATAAATACCCTTCCCAAAACCCTTCACACCCTCCCTCTTGGCACCCTCATACGGCTTCACAACAACACCGCTGAACGCCTCCCACGTCCCCAAGACAAACTCCTTGCCCGAAGTCCGCAGCCCGCTCCCGAGACCGGTGATCTGGTCCCGCCGTCGCACCTCATGTCCGATGAAGCCGTAGGAAGGATAGTTGTGAAACCCATTAGCGACGTTATAGCACACTGCCACGGGCGCCTTGAGACCAGCCTTGACGAGCTCGATACCGTATCGCCCCGTCGCGCGCGTAATCTCCATCGGCCTATTGCGTTTCTTGACGAGGGTTGCTACGGAGGACTTGCGTCTGCCGTGTTCGTCGACGGCGCTGGCGTCCATCATGGCGATCTCGACGGCTGGGTCGGCACACTGGAGGGATTTGGTGGCCATTTTCATGGCGATTGCGTTCATCTGCTTCGGCGTCATACTGTGCGCCTTCGCCACGCGCTTCAAGTGGCCATCTTCAGCGTCCTCTACTCCGCACTCTGGGCCCGGCTGAACGTCTGGTCCCTCGCTAGGTTCCGCCGAGGGTTCACGCGTCGTGTTACTCTCCTCCTCGGGCTGCTTCTCGTGCGCAGGACGCTGGGCTTCGAGGTCGACGGCGTGCATCCGCGCCTGAGCGGCTTGGGGCGGATGCTTCAACCGCTGCGAGTAATCCGACGTCGCCACGCCGATATTCGTAAAGAAGCCAGATACCGCAGCCACTAGGCCGATGAGAGGGTGTTCGGCGCCTTCGTCGACGTACCAGTGCTTGTGCTTCAGCAGCTTAAAGTCGTGCGGCTTCATAAACCCCTTATCGACGAGACATCCGACCGCAAAGTTACTCAGGTGTGCCCCCGTCTTCCTGTGTCGCCAGTTGGCTAGCCTCTCTGGGCATATGTCGCATCGCATCGTGTCGAGAGCCAGTCGTTCCTGAATATCCCTCGCCGTATCTCCCGCGCCGTCCTCTTCCGCGATCCGCTCCGCCATCTGCTGCACCGCCACCTGGACCTCAGGCTTGAGCGCGAAAGTGATGCTTGCTGCTAGTGTCTCGGCCGTCATCTCCTTGAAGGGCACGGGAGCTGGGCCGGCGCCGGCACGGGCAATCATCTGGCCCCAGAAAGGCTGGTCTCCAAAGAAGGGTACAACGACAGTAGGGCGTCCGCATGCGATTCCTGCCGCGGACGTGCCGGCGCCGCCGTGGTGCACAACCGCCGAGACGCGCTTGAAGAGCCAGTCGTGCGGGCAGTTGCCGATGAGATAGACGTTGTCAGGAATATCATCGCCGCCGCCGACGCCACCCCATCCCTTGGAGACGATGGCGCGGACACCGGCCTGCTCGACGGCTTTGAAGATGAGTTGGGTGAGGGCTTTGGGGTCGTCGACGACGATGGAGCCAAAGCCGATGTAGATTGGTGGTGGGCCGGCCTCGAGGAAGGCGGTCAGATCTGCGGGTGGCGTATACTTGTCGGCGAGGGAGAGAAAGGAGAAACTGGTGATGTTGATGTGGGAGTCCCAGTCAGCGGGCTTGGGGATGAGAGACTCAGACCAGAGGAAGGTATATGGAACGCGGAGTCTGGGGAGGAGCTGACATCCCCACAGCGGACTAATATGATCGAGGCCTAATGTCTGAGTGCGGAACTTATTGATCAAGTCGCCGAGTCTAGTTGCATGTCAGTAATGAGCGAAAGGAGGCAAAGACCAAGAATGAGAGTGAGCGACTGACCCTTGCCACGTCAAAAGCTCCATCAAGATAAACGACAGATAGTTGGCGGCGCTCGTGTCGGCCTCACCATAACTCATCGAGGCCAGCGGGTGATGAAAGGCCTGTGTTGGGCACCACGGCATCGTGAAAACCATGTGAAGCGGGATACCAAGCTTCTCAGCGCAATGAATGTGAGCCATCGACGGCGGGTTGGCGATAATCGCATCAGCGACGAAAAGGTCGTTCGCGTCTGGCACAGTAGCAGCCGTAGTTCGTTCGCCCATGCCGTCTCCCGCCTCTATACAACTCCTCCACGCGCCGTTGATAATTTCAGCCATCTCTTTCCTGCGGTGCTTAATGTCTCCGGCCTTGACACTCTCTCGGCTCGGAAGCAGTCCGGGGTTCTTGACCATGTAAGCCATGAGCGCCTCCGGGTCGCCGCCAATACTGAAGAATTCGACGCCATTGGACTCTACAAAATCCTTGAAAACGGGGTGCGTGCAGATGCGGACTCGATGACCGTAGGGCTCCTTCATGAGAAGCTGTGCGATGGGGATGAAAGGTTGGACATCGCCGCGGGAACCGACAATGTGTATCGCGATGTTGAGTCGCGGGCTCTTTGACGGCGGATGTTGCTGCAAATTTTCCAAAATGACGCTGCTGCGTCGCCGTAGCCGTGCCTGTTCGAATTCTTCCTCGTAGTCGCCAGAGTGTGGTCTGAATGCCCCTTCAAAGTCGCGAAGCCAGCGTGCAAGCTTTTGCGGATTCTCGTGAAATCTCACTCGTACGCGTCCATCGTTGCCGACGTTGCCGGATGTGGCCGTCTCTGAGCGACCGCCGTCGCCCAACGCAATGTGGCCCAGTCCCTTTGATTTTACGCGTGTGAGTGCCGCCATGTTGGAGAAAAAAATAAGACTTCAACTCGGATGGATCCCCTCCCAGACCCCAGTGAGCTGGGCTGGTTATGTGATGGATGGATCCAGTTCCGCAATGGACTCGATGCTTTGATCAGCCAGTCCAGACCTTCTCATGCGACGTCCGATGAGATGAGAAACGAGCCCATGTAAGCATATATGAGTTTGTATGAGCTCTGAAGTGATGAGATGAACTAGCAAATTCCATCTCTTGCCGCAGTGCCGCTGACTCGGGGAACAATCACGTGTGTCATTCCCGCTCTCCGAGACTTCCCACCCACCAGTGCCACCAGAACGGCAGAATCCCCCATTGCCCGCTGCTTTCATCGGCGTTGTTTATCCCCAAAACGTCATAGAGGGGCCGTTCTTTTGCAGATTAGCGTCGAATGGAAATGAGGTTACCATGCAGATTTACGACTGGAACTTTAGGTTTACGCCGTTTGCAGTTAGTCCCCTTGGCTCGCCCTTTTTCTGTGGAACTCTGTTTTCTTGTGCCGTGGTGCCCCTTCGGTCTCGCCTTTCTGTCACATTTCTCTCCTCTTATCTGGCTGCCTGTTTGGGCCCCTTGGAGGTACTGTAGTCGCGCGTATAGTGGTTGGCCTGGTGGCCTGTTACGCGCATTCAGGTTCCTTTGGGGGCGAGGCAGAATGGAACAAATGCCATTCTCGTTTCAGAGATACCGGTTCCGTTCAATGTCTTTTCTGGGGTCCAAGGGGATTGCCATTATTTCCCCCCTCCAGGGTCTCCATTGACTCAACATCTTTGTCTCTCACAAAGCCAGTCATTTGCCTTGGCAACCGTGACAACTCAAGTGACATATTCCAGGAATCCAGAGTCTTCCAGACTACAAAGACGCAACAATCGGACTGTTCCTCGGGCTCCAGGCCTAAACGGAGTGCTCGGGCGACGATCCTCGGCACCATTGGAGGTAACCCATGCCGCAGATCGGGCACATCGGGGGTCCGTCCCCCGTCCTCACAGACCAATTCACCGAGACTCCGTTCAGTCCTTAAGAGGTTTCCGTTCCCTTGGCCCGCTCGTGACCAGCCAGTTCCAGCCAGCTCGGGGCCATTTTC